GGTGCTTGTGCTCTTGAGCAAGGCACTTTACCATTATTGCTTCGTCGTTCGGATGGGACTTAAAGCCGTAGGTCCCGTGTGTTGTGTAATGCACGTTAAAGAACCCATGCCAGTAACACTTATCGCTAAGAGAAGGGGTTTGCCCCGGTGTTTCTGGCAGTGGCTGCAATATGCGCCGCAGCATCTTGTAAACCATTATAAGGTGCTACATAATGGGTCTCATATTTCTCATAAACTTTATTTACCTTTCTTTAATAATAGACATATCTCCAGCGCCTTGAGTACCTAATAGTTGGTAGATACGTGCGCTATATAAGACTCCGATATTATTATTATTGTTATTATTATTATTGTTAAGGTGCGCTGTCAATTATACAATGTACATATGTACCTGTAATACATGACGGCCGTCATGTATTATACATGGTATAACATTATACAACGTGGGCAATTGTGTTGGGTTGAGGTGACTTCATAACCTCTCCTCTGACCAATATTACAATTCACACATGTACAGAAGACAACTCCCAAGTTTTCTTCTGAAATCACATCATACAATACTTCAATTCTCAGACCACAGCTCAAGACCTTTGGTCCTTTAATTTGCCTTTGGCGTCTTAATTTAAATTCACTGGATTTCAAAATCCCCGCAACCGCCTAAAATTGATGGATCTGCCTCTGGATAAATGTATACATGTACTTCACAAAGGCCACGTTCAGACCTTTTCTTCAGTTTCTTCTGCAAAATTTACGCTTGATATCTTGGATTATCATGGATGTATAACGTCATATAAATTATCTTGAAAGAAATGTTACATATTATGGATAATGAAAACAGGTCTCTCTCAAATGACGTCACTGACTGCAGATTGTCACGTGCATCGGCATTTTCGTCACTTGCATCGTATTTCGAAAAAAAAAATATCGAGCAACATGCGCACATTCCATGTGGCTTATTGCGTTGCATACGCAGTTGTAATTTTTCTAGGAAGATGACGTCGTATGAGAGCGGTCTATACTCCGGCCCGAGTGTACACCCGATCCGACTCCACTGAATAGCCATTCTGCATGCATCAACTGAATTAAATCATATGTGCTCTTGGATCATTATGGCCTTTAAAAAGCTCTGGCAGGAGCTTCTACGTGGTGGTCGGTCTCGGTCTGTCGGTCGGTCGGTCTGTATGTCTGTCGTTCCCCAAAAATTGACCAAAAAGTACGGTGTGCCTTAATGTGCCATCGGCATCGCATTCTTCGGCGTTGCATTTTTCAGCTCTGGCGGGGATCATTATGAACGATTCCATGCAAGACTTTCGTTCTAGAGTTCTTTCAACACGGCCAGAGCTTATTGTGAACTCACAATTGTTTTGAGAGCGAGCATGCATCAGACGTATAATTATGTGTCTTCTGTGAATGATGTCCCTCTTGCCGTTCGTTCAGGCTCTTAGTTGTTTTTTTCGGCGGCTGCCGAAGGAGGATAGGGCTTGAATTAGAGCTTTTTTCTCTGCACAAGTTTACCTTATGTTCTGCCAGAGTCGTTGATATGCAATGGGTACTTTTACTAATGTCTTGGGGAGGTTAGGGGCGCTCTTATTTTTAATCATTTTCATGTACATGTACATGTACATGTACATGTACATGTACATGTACATGTACATGTGCAGTTTTATCGCTTTTAATTATTACTCCATTTTTGGTCTCGCTTTTTATCATGCTTGTAAATAACATATGATCAGCTGGGAGGGGGTTTGTCAGTTTCAGTGCAATTTTGTAATTCTAGATGTATTTCTTAACTACTTGTCCTTAAAATTACTTGTGTTTAATAACTTATTGTTGTTCTTTTTGTCAATTAAGGTCTTGTCTTTGTTTATATCTTTGTCTCGACGTATTTTTGTAATGTGAGGGCCCCAAATGATCAGCTTCTGCTGGATGGGTTACACTCATTAAAAATGGTTTTAAACAAATAAATAAATAAATAAATAAATATCCATCTAGTAGCACTTCTTGACCTCCACCTAGTACGTTTGGCTGTCTCGGGGCTACGCGTACTAGCCTACAACTCAACTGACGTCTAGCAAAACTAATAACTCAATAGTCCTCAAATCACGCTCCAAACTTAATTTTTCACGACCTTTAATAAGGTTAGGTATAGATGGCGCAAATTGTACACCGACAAGGCCATAATCGAATTTCAAATTGAAACTTCATATTGGCTTCCATCCTTGACGGGATGGCTGATTAAAAAAGGCAAAGCAAGCTGAGACCAGGATCACACAATATTCTATTCAATTGATTCCGGATGGCCACATTATTTGTAAACTAAAATTTGGTAGCAGCGTGGTGAGAAATCCACTATCGCCATCCTCATGGAGACTTGACTAAGGCCTACGCACATGTATCATGAAAGTACATGAAGAAAACCGGCGCCAGACTATTGCGCACGTGGTTTAGTATTTACATGAATGGGCAAGCCTTTAATTGTAAAGCTGGTATCATGTACTAGTGTAAGTGGCTAGTGACAGTCAGTCAGTCATTGAGATAGGCAACCAGTCAATCTGTGGGGGAGTCAGTCAGTCAGTCAGTCAGTAAGGAGCAATCGAGGACACTAGGCTAGCCCTGCTGGGAAATAAAAAGAAACCCACAGACTCCCACTGGCAGAATGCGCTCATTTTGTTGTTGCAAACCCGTGTGGTGAAAATTTAAAAAACAGCCCTTGCCCACATCACGTGCATCTGATGAAAACACAAGCTTTATATCCTGTTCATATAGGCCTATCTAATGCTGAATTTACAAGAAGAATATTTGTGAAAGTATCCTCGTACAACATGTCCATAATTAGTTCACATAAAGCACAACTCTTGGCCGACAAAATGCCGAGAAATCAGCAAATTCATGAAAAAACAGCAACACTAACGGTCTATCCATGCATCATCGTTGGCATGCTTAGCCTACTAAAGTGAATTAGGTAAATACACTGTTATTTCGGCTGTGTAAAAATCAAACGGTTGTGTACTATATGAATCTAGCAACCCGTTGTGTAAACTGTTGTTTACACAACTTGTGTAAAATATTACACAACTTGTTCAATTTTTTTTTACACAACTGGTTGCTAGGTTCATATAGTACACAATTATCCGACATAACAGTGTAGGGAAAAACAGATGCAAAACTCGAAAGGCATCAGGTGTTCAGAAATAGTTAATTTTGGCCGCTAATCCAAAAGCCCTCCCTCATCATCATGACAATTCAATCGATTTCATAAGCGTCCTCGCACATGATTATGTGCACGCACCACATTTGAGAACGTGATCACATAACTGTGTTACCATTTGAGTCCCTCAAATCAAGAATTACATTATATGCAGTGAACTTTTCCTGACCCACAATTTTATTATAGTGTTAATGCAAACTTTGTTAAACGATTTGGCAAATCAACTGCTATAGCGGTTCGTATTAATGATCATAGTTTTGGAAATATGTTTGTCTTGCTGGCCTACACATTCGAGTCCTCGATGGATTACGCATTTGAGTCCTTGTATACATAACCATCGAAGAACCGGTGGTATTATCACCGTCATGCTCTTTTGACATTCCAATCCCAACAACTCCTTAATCAGCACCGACTTCCCAAGTAACTTTCACGGACGGATTTGTTCGTACACTTTGTACCCAGTGGCTTACCCATTTTGGGAGCGCTAGTCCCATATTTCGCTAAACTTCAAGTACAAATCATTTGCCGCCTTCGCGATTAATTTTATTTGAAGCGTCAAAAGTGCTCAAAATATTAAGGAGCGGGTGCAAAACAACTACATCTAACTGTTGAAGTTCAGATTGGTGGGTACTATCCATTTTTGAAAAACTGATTGATCATATGCACATATTTTTTGAACTGGATCCCTTGCCAATGCACTCTTGACAAAATAATGTGCACGTCGGTATCCAATTGGGAAATGACCCTAATTCAATTTTATTTTCTTCCGAACATACCATTTCAGACGGAAGAAGTTCACAGCTTGTTCAATACCAGTCCTATCTTCAGTTTGAGCAAGTTTCTTCGCTATTGAATTGATCAGTAGCTGCTTTTTTACGGCCAATTGCAATGATCCGACATATACCTGGCTTAAAGGAACTTAAAAGGGCACTGAAATGTACTCATCTTCATTGCATTTTAACCTATTTTCAGTTTTCGTTTGGTCATTTTCCAGGGATATTTTGGTGGTTTTAAACATGCTGATGAGCATTTCCGTCATTCATGAGCAAAAGCGTGATGTCATTTCAAGCAGAAACCTTTATATTAATGCTCTATGATTACCAGAGGTTGCCAGAATTTTGGAGAGTTCGCTGTCGTTGATTTCCTTTTCTTTTGTGATTCGTTGTGGTGTCAGTACATGCAAGGCAGTAAGTCAATGAGCAAACTTTTCTCACAAATGTTCTCAATAAGCAAATGTTGGATTAACCGCTTAACTGAACAGTGTCTTCCTCGAATGACATCACAGCAACAGCGCCATCAGTTGTCCGGAAAAGCATGGACACTTTTTAAATGTTTAAACATTAGTGCACTTTTAAACAAAATTGAATAAAAAAGGATGTCAAATAGTTTTCATACGATTACGCGGAGTACAAAGTTGCACAAAATATGTTCCTAAGAAAGTTTCACTTCATGAACCCTTTAAAGTTGGTTGCTGCAAGGATAGAACACTTTCTGTGACCATACGCGCATTTCGTGCCTACAACAGACTCGGTCACTGGCTATATACAATGTATGCCTTTCCAATAGGAACTCAAAGTAATTAGAGGACACCATACCGGCACCTTAGGGGACGCAAAGTAATTAGAGGACACCATACAGGCACCTTAGGGGACGCAGTCTGACGCGTGTATTGGTGAGTCGGGGCCACCAAAAAAGCCCAATCAAGCTAGCCACACCCAAAGAAATTATATTTCAAGTTACTCCCATTTCAATAACAATGCAATGTTTTAAAGTTCTATAGCAACTCCAACGCTGTAATCATATCACAATATTTTTTTATTTCATTTCTTGAAATAATTTCTTACAATTTGAATACTGTGGCGTCAGTATTTACATGTTTCTTTTGCGAAAATGAGCTTAAACAATCCTCTGATTTCTCATCAAAAGATGCCTTTGCGCCGCGTATGCATAATTATTATACAAATGCATCAAATTAAAAGCAAAAAAGTACAAATTACACGTTATACTCATTATAAAATAATGTGAAACTGAATAAGTCAATAATAACATTGGAAGACCCAACATAAAATAATTACAAAATTTGATACTGTTGAAATTACTGTAACTCATTCCCTTTGAAGATTGGCACTATGGAAGACGACCAACACCACCATTTTTGGAATTCAGTAACCAATTAGTGAAAAAAAAACAGTACGTATTTTAAAAACATAAAAAGACCAGTGGGTTATCTTGGTTCCACTCTAGCAGGTGTGAATTTCAAGAAATGTTACGCTGCAGTTTGCAGCATAAAATAAACAAAAACAAGAAAAGGTGTGCTTACCAAAACAAGTCCCCCGCCACCGTATAACTATTCCCATTATATGGCACCGCCATTGGAATGTCAAGTGTCCTGGGAGGGGCTTCTACAGGACACCAAGACCAACCCACATACCAAGTTTGAAGTTGATATGCCCCGTCCTTCTCATCAAAATACCGTGTGACAACCATTTCGATTGTTGTAACCTTAATGACCTTCATCTTTGATATATGGGGTCCAAAATCAGAAGGGCTCTACATGACGCAAAGACCAACCGACATACCAAGTTTGAAGTTGATATGTCAAGTCCTCAAGTTATCAGGGGTGTGAGTGACCACTGATAAAAATAGCTGAAAACAGCAGAAAAAGGTGTAAAAAAACTGAACTTTGGAAACCTCCTGTACTTTTGTAAACAGTGAGGGAAAAAAGCTGAAATCCAAAACCAAAAAAACCTGAAATCAGCTTTAAAGCTGAGATTTCACACCCCTGAGTTATGGTGGGAACACTGATTGCTTGCACGCAAACACATGCACACAACCAGTCGTGTTATCCTATACTTATGAGGACCTCCTTTTGTTCCAATTTTGTGTACTTTTTCTCAACACATCCACTAAAGTTTGTACATAAAAACTTCCCAAGGATTTGGCTCAGGTCCTTGGTTTTTTGTTATCCTCAGTCATAAAGGATAACAAGATCACGTTTAAAATACATACCTAGCGGGGGCATTCCTTTTTTTTCATGTAGCTAAGAAAAATTGGAGAACAAAACTCCTTTTAATTTATTCGCAATGTGAACACACTGTCAACCCAATTTCATCATGATTTCCTCTCCTTTCGTCTTCATTTTGCGACGGAGAATCCAACCCCCAAAACGCCTCTCAAACTGTTTTCGATGGACCTGGGAAGGTACACACAATGTCGTCTCACCTCCACTATATATGTGGAATGTTTTTGTTCAGAGGTCCACAGTGACTGCACTACCTGTCCGCCAACACAAACACGGAAGGAAAGGTAAGCGGGACATAAAAACTGTTGGTATGACACAAGGAAAGGCCACGGGCTTATGGAATGTACGTGGTTTTCTATTCCAGGTGGGAAGTGTATACAAGGCTTAAAAAAAACCTAAACTTTAAGTCACAATGGAAACTTAATTAGATCAAGTTGGCAACTGATTGTTTGCTTTGAATTTTGATACTACAGATCTAGACAGAGCTAAAGTCATCATTTAGGAATCTTCATTTCAATTACAAAATATATTACTAAAAAAGTATAAGGCCACACTTAATATCTGTAGGCATATTTGTGCAGTAAACAATCCAACCGGAATTGCAGTACCTGTACGCCTGATCTAGTGGAGAAGATCTTATGAAAGATCAGCTTTCACTTTATTTGTAATCTGTTATTGACAAACAAGAAGGGCCATCCAAAACAGATTGTTCCCTCTATTTCCATGGGACTAGTTCAAGGAGTAGGTATATTAGATGTCATAAATCTTATCAACCTCTTCAAAGCCAAGTGTACGTCAGAGATGTAATCAAATCACCCACTCAAATCATGAAGTCCATTGGAGTCACTATTTTCGGTAACTCAACTTGACAGGCGTCATAAACATGTACACAAGTAAATGTCTTGACTTAGGCAAAGGACTTGATCTGACTCAAGCCAAATCTTCACCAACACTCAGTCCTTAACAAAATGTGAAGAAAAAAAAATCATTGACTTCTTATTACCACTTCATGTCAAATTGAAAGCTGGTTTGCACTTGCAAGGCCAATGGCAGTTCGGCAGATTGACAGCACTACACAAGAAGTGCTGCAAAATGATACACTCAAGATTGTGATACTACAGATGGTGTGAAAATTTCATCGCAGTGACTTGAATTGACTCGACAACGAATGTGTCCCGACTTGACTTGCCTCGAGCACACATTGTGGCTCAACTAGCCTTAACTGGACCTTGCTGATCTCATGACTCAACTTAATTTGAGTCACTGCCTTTAGGGCGACTTGACTTGACTCACAAATGTAGTGCTTAATCCTTGCATTCAAATCCATATTAGCCCGTGAAAATGTGAGAGCAGCATATATTACTGAGATGTTTATGATGACGGATGGATCTTCCCTTGCAGGCCAACCAAAAATGGTGTGGTGTAGTTGAGTCTCGATCAAGGCTGTAACTATCCAATGAGAGTTGACTGCTTTATCATTCTTATCATAACTGGTTAATCATACACCAGTTGCATCAAGAGTCTAGCCTTCATCAAGGCTACTCATAGCTCTAGTCCAACAGTGGACTTGGATTTAGTTCCCCAAGTATTGCAGATGGTCCCCAACAAGTGCAGCCAAGCTGCCGTAGAGGTAGAAGGCACTTTATTGAAGCTTTTCTGCGCATGTTAGTTACATGTATGCTTGGAACTTCTTTGGTCCCAGTCCCAAAACTGGATTTGATTCATATTGTGGACTGCACTCTCTACCGCTGCAGTGACTTGACCGCACCTGTCAGGGATCAGGACTGGCTGCATTAAGACAAAAAAAATCCAAATCCACGCTTGGACAGGGAAGAGGCTAGCCACGGTGTGTGGCATCCAGGACATACTGCTTACTATCTACAGTTGTCCGTTCATTATCATTTCTTGTAGAGTCCCTTCTGCTGCTCTAGATCCATGTCTTCTCCTTTGTGCTGGCACTGATGGAGTGTGGCAGCGTAGGTGTAAACCCTTGAGTCAACCAAATCCCCTGCTTCACTGTATGCTGTTGTAACGAAACAGTAAGAATATTGCATGTATTTCCTGATGAATCCACAAAGCCACTTATATAGTGCTACATGTCGGAAGGTTTCAGGCAGTTCAGGGAGTAACTGGCAGAGTTATTTTGGGTGGCACTGGTTCATCTTCTTTGTCATGTTGAATCCATGGGTTTTATTATGCATTCTCACCCAAGACTCAGATATGAAATTTTGGAGATAAAAACAAAAGGAAAATTTAATTTTTACGCGAATAGCATTGGGAAATTTTGCCATTAATTAAATTATTTCTAAACACAGGTTGTTGTCATAACTGTCCATGGGCGAGTAATATAACTTAGCTGACAGGAACTTCTATCATTTGGAAATTTGGAAATCTGCCAATGTTACACTCATTACATTACATTTTTGTTTGGGGGGGGGGGGTTGGGGCAGGACAAGAGAAGACCGTTCTTTGACCTTACCATCAAGTTTTTGCTTGAGTTCATGCAAAGGTGCATGGATAACTTCTATGAATTCCCCTTCATCTGAAACAAAACAGCAAACATCAAGTTCATCACATATTCATCATACCCATAATCTTTTCTATTTTGAATGATGATTCCAACTCATGAGATGGGCCAACATTTAACACACTCTGGACTGAAGTAGTGGTTCATATACCATACAAGATTTGAAGATTTGCATAGTGAAGATGGCAATAAGATAAAGACTTATAAAAGGTAATGTAACAAATCTCTTTTGTGAGTTTGGAAGGTTCTAACAAGACTTTTGGGAAAATCAACATTTCAGACAGTATACTCTGCCCGTCAGTATCTACAGCCTTTAAAAAGGCCACTCGACATTGGAAAATTAATTGATGCTTAGAACATCTGCACAAAAAGAAAAATGTTACCGGTTTGAATCCTACAGGAACAAACCCTTCTAATATCCAAATGCACTTACGAACACACAGCAAAAAGAGTTACTCAATACTTCGAACGGCATAATTTTTTTGTGACACAAGTCCCACAATACTCATTCCTGTCTACAGGTACTGAAAAATGTAAACAATCTAGGGCGGAGAACAGTAGTTTATTGATCAGAAAGAAGAGTAGTAAATCTAGGTTAATGCATACTCATCCACTTGATGGTTGATGCATAATTCCATCCACTGTAATCATCCATCACCATTTGGCAACCCATTAGCTATTCAAAGGACAACACTAATGTATTTTCACTTTCAATCCCACAGCGATACTGTTTGCTAAAAGCTGCCTAATCACTATCCCTGTACCGACATGTGTGCTTCCAACGACTCTTCAAAATATATTATAAGCTTAAATTTTGTTCAAATACATTAAATGGAAAATAGGTGTGGTGTCTGACATGAGCAGACAAATACCGGTACATGTACATACAGAAGAGTGCCAACCTACACGTAATGCACTCATTCAGCACAATGCAGCTAATGAACAATTTTTTAACCAAAACAAGGCACTAACTGGCTGGTTGGCTGAACTTGTTCAAGCAAAGTTATCTCTGATCAGAGAATTGTTGTGTACGTATCGAGCTACCCTAGCACACACTTGTCCAAGGTTGTCACAAATTAATTAGGGAATAAATGTGTACTTGGCCCGTTTTAAACACTGTTTATTAAAGACAGTATTGAGTCTATCCAGACTCCAACCAGTCTTAAACGGAGTGTTTAATACCGGCCAAACACACATTTATTCCCATTCATAAATACCTTTTCGGTCAAAGAAATATGAACTGTTCGATCTAGATGTCAAAACAAGTCAAACATTATAAATTTCCAACAATCTTTTTTTTACAATTTTACTTCATGTTTTCCGGGACACCCCTCTAGCTACATTATGGTATGTCTGTCTCGCAAAGTAGACGTGAACAACTCCTAATATGGAGATTGGTACTGCGCGACGTTGCGCAGAACGCAGCTGTATTGTGAATTGAGGACTATGAAATACTGACTCACTGGTAGGATTGCCATGCCTATTCGAGGATTGTGAACATTCAAGCAAAAAAAAAAAAAAACGGTAAAATGCACCGGATTTCACAGGAGTCTAAATTCCATGTAACACTGGAGAAGTGTTCAAGACCAGCCAGCCTGTTTTCATCAACCCTTTAAAACTGGCTCTCAACCAATAGGAATGGGTAAACTGTCTTAGGTATTTATGAATACTAATTAATGCATACATATGAACTGTACTATTTAATGTATGTATATGTGTCTACCCATGTAAATGTATGTGCACACCATGCATTATACATGTTATAGGGCCTGCAACTTACACGTACAGATGTAAATCACAGGTAGAAACTACAATTTTGCAAAAATGACCCATACAGAATTTTTTTGACCACCCAATATGCTAACTTTTTTCGTCGAAAATTCAAATCTGTGCTCGAAACACTTGCCGCTGACATAAATTTCCAAGATAATAAACTACAAAATGACTAACTTCCATTACGAGTCACTATTGCAGCTGTTGTGGTGTGAGCATATGCAAAAGTATATCAGACACATTTGGCTGTTGTGGATAGGGTTATGGAGCGATATCAATTGAATTCCCAAAGCACACATCACATTCTCAAATGACCAAAAATTGATATTACAATTGACACAGCAGCTATGAAACCACTTCCACTGCCAAGTATTAAAGTATCAAATTTTGAGTTAATGATGATTGAATGATGTTATGGTACACATCAACATTAAAGTTATTTTCAATATCTCCAGCAGATGATGAATATATCATTAGGGCAATCAATTATTACCATGCTTGGTTTTTTGGCCATATTTTTGGCGGAAAATGATTGATGAGCGAACAGCGCTTCATGAATCTGATTAGATTGCATGTAATGATGATACAGCTGCAAACACACTGTAATGTACTTTGTATAACCCCCTAAAAGCTTCCATTACAAAAATTGAAATCTGCAAATTAGTGGGGAAAATAGGCCGTGGGCCAAAGCCTGTAACGTGCACTTCGTCTTAACTTTTTAGTGGCAACCTAATTTCTCAGTTATAAGTAGTTGGGAACATGTAAATTGATATTTTACAATACGCACATCACATCGTTTGCACAAGTTAGAAATAAAGGGGACTGTTTCCCCAATGTAACTATACCACATGAGGGCGATCGCGATGCATCCCTGCCATTGCGTACCAGCCTCGCCTCCATTGGCGCATGCGCATTCCTCCATCAACCCCTGGCCGTGGGGAATATGTAAACGGTGACGCTGACTGGCTAAAACAGAGCGTACTGCAAGTGTACTTCGAAGTCTGCGCGCACCATATCCTAAGCGTCAAGTAATGTACACATTTGTATTCAAGACTGCGCGATGCCTTTTCGATTTGGATTCTGGAAGCCCAGTTTTTTTTGGCTAAAAATAGTACTTTTGCCATAAGTTCTATCTTTTCAGTTCAAATGCTTTCAAATTTGACACAACAGATAAAAAGGAAGTCGGCGTGAATAAGTCATTATTTAACGCTCGACACGGTGCTTAACATTTTTTTTAGAATTGATCTTTCAAACATGAGCATGATGAGATTTCGACGTGTATTAAATTTACATACCTCTGTCGTCCCTTTACAGCACAAATCAGTCACAAGTCATTCAGTTTCAAGTAAATAAGTGACACACTATTTTTTTCTCCATTTCTTTACCCAGAATACATGTTGTCGTCATAACTTTAGTGTGCAATTTGGGCCAATATGAACAGCCAGATTCAGATTCAGCACTATCGAATTAGTAAAGTTGACTTTATTGCAAGCTGACACCAAACAGTTAAGACGAACCTCAACACGATACAGATTTTGGCCCATGGCCTAAAAAAAGGAGAACAGGATTTACAACAATAGTAAAATAACACATACCTAAATTGGGTACTGGTCTCTGATTAACTGTGTCATCACCATCTACCTGTTTAAAAAAAAAATAGATTTGTTTTATATTGTAGAATATTAAAACCTACATCACACAAGGCAATATTGTTCACGGCAATCTCAAAGAAGAAAACGACCATCAAAAGGTTTTACCTCTGTCTGTTTTGAACTTAGTTTGTGATGATGTGGGGTACATGTAAGTTTCAAAATGGGGGTAGGGAGGGTGCTGAGGCCAGATGCAACACAGTGCATCAGGAGTATAAGTCTGTTGGACCTTGCGGCATTGGGCCATCAACACCAGTGCACAAATGGCAAGTTCAAGACGTGAGCTAGTCCCATTGAACAATTTACATGTATATGCCTCAGTTGTATCCCACTGCATCCAGTGACCACAGACTATGAGGCGTTTTGGCCTTGCGAATTTTGATCTGTTGGATCTTGCTACACTTGGCAGGCTGGTCAGTTTGAAAAGTGGTGCATGTTGCTGTGCTCAGCATGGTTTCTAGCCAAAGTACCCTGGAGGGTTAGGGGTTAAAGTCCACACAGAAACCAAAGGCAACTAACCCTAACAGAACTCAAACCCCAACAGCATGTTTTGTTGGAATCTGTCAGGATGGGTACAGTACCCCTAAACTGACAGTCTTTTACATTGGGTTGGCACATCTGCAGAATCAAAGACAGAAATATGTGTGTGCAGTTGGAATTTGCCAGGATGGGTATAGTTTCCAGTAAATCATGCTAGGGAGTTAGGGTTAAGTAATGAACTGATTCACATATAATACATATGTCTTTATAGAAAAGGAAATATTGAATTTGTGTTCCCATAATATATACATTATGGTAAATACAATTAGATGAGGAGGGGTATAGTCTAGGGGCTAGACGTTATGGTTTGATACGTGATAACCTGCGGCCGCGATAACCCGCCGCCGCGAGAGGGCGCTTTCACGACCGACCAATATCCCACGGACTTGTCAGGAACGTCTAGGGAAATTCGTATTGGTTGTGTAATGCCCGTGCAACTGTTGGGCCTAATAATATATGCAGCGCGCAATTCAAAAAAAATTATTGTAGTTCCGAAGCAAACTCTCAAATTTCATCCAGTGCAATAAAAGATGCAGCAAGACCTTTGTGCAACCTCACTGGTCAGCTCTTTTGTTATGTGTAGTATGTGTGGGACTGAAAATGGACCGTAATTGCCTGCAGAAGTCACGCATGCGCACTAGTTTCCCCCAATTTTCGGGGGGGGGGGGGGGGGGGAGATTTCAGCAGATTCCTACACGTTGTTCTGACAAGTTCCGTGGGCGATATTGGTTAGTCGTGATAGTGCCCTCTCGCGGCAGCGAGTTAAGGCGGCCACGGGTTATCGCGTATCAGACCATAACAATGTCTAACCCCTAGACTAGACTGTAGATGTACACGTTTTTGTTAAAGTTAGTTCCTTATTTCCTCATGCTCCCTCCGTAGTCGGCGATTATGTGGAAAAAGTTGTTACAATGGTTACAATGTAATACAAGATACATGAACGGAACAAACCTGCACGAAAACAAGATTAAGAGTTGAAGCTGACATACCCGAATCCATAACAGTCACTGTAAAGAAAAACATTGATTCCATGATGAAGTATTTATTAGTAGAGACAAAAAATGGATTACAGCAAACTATTTTAGAAAACAAATATTAACATTACTTTTTCTTGAGATTAACCATCTTAATACTGTTTACAAACAATGTTAATCTCAATTCTCCCCACTGATCCACATTAATTGTATGCTTGATGTTTGTCAAATTTAGCTTAATGGATCAGCACTTTATTGTAGTAATTGAACAATGAGGTGTTTTTTTAATAAATTGACGAATGTAGAACCCTTAAGTTTTACATCCACCAATTGCTGCTGGTATCACTGGCGATTTGGCGCTGATGCCAGGAGATGTGTGTTGCCCTGCATCTTCAAATCTGGGAAACAACAGGGAAACTCCGACGCCAGCGACTATTAGTCACTGGCGTCGGTGACATGTCTCCCTGGTGACAAGTCTCCCTGGCACCAACACCAATAGTCACTTATTCTTCATCATTGATAGCAAGACAGGGGCCCGGTTCCTGGTGGACACAAGAGCTGAAGTGAGCGTCTTGCCTTCATTGACTGCGGAAAAACACTGGCCTCGGTCTTCATCTGTCAATCTTCATCAGGTGGTAATAAATCTCCCATCTGCATACAGTAAACTCCAGCTAAACCGGCACTCTCGGGACCCGAGAATTTGTGACGATTTACGCGAATGCCGATATGTGCTGTAATAAGTCATTTTGCTGACTTACATGAATGGTCCTTTGCACACATGATTCATTGCACTAATTGGCTTCGATTTACCCTGGATTAGGCCTTATCTCCTTAATGCTTGAGTTGAATCCAGCAAATTAATCCTCAAATTGTATCATCACGTTTGGGGTATTGATAGTGGAGACCACGATACATATGTACGTGCACAGTAACGAATTAAATGCGTGCGTGGTCCGGTATATACCACGCACGCATTGACTGCAGCAGTAGTCATTCAATAAGACGACCCCCTGCGTACGGCCTAGAGGGGGTACTGGTATATATGTTCACGATGCATATGCGATGTATGCAGTAGGACACCCTTTTCCGACACCGATCACGGGCCTTGCGAACCACTTTTCACTCGACACTTGCCAACCGCAGTACAGGAAGTCGATGCCAATGCATGATTTGTTGAATGCCGACTTACACAAAGGATTTTGTAATGCTTTTTATGGAAAGGGGACCGAGAGTAACACGACGACTTGAGCGAAATGGCGACTTATAAAAGCCGGCTTAGAATTAAAAAATTCAATGGAAATGCATTACGGACAATCAGGACTTTAGTCAGACGGCTGACTTGAGCGATTTAAGTTGTACGATGTCGGTTTAGCCGGAGTTTACTGTATTTGGTTAGAAGTCACTTACACTGGATGTCAAGTTGCGTAGAGTCTTATCCGTTGGGTCTTCGTCACTGCTGATCTACCGAACCCAATAATTGGAGCAGATTTTCTCTGACACTTTTGGACTGCTAGTCGATGTTCAGCATCATAAACTCAACGTCTCAACTAAACACCTCACAGTAGGCGGAATCCGTTCGTACACCATTCCCATCGGTCCAACCACAGCCAAGCAGAGTGCCTAGCCCTATGAAGTGCTTCTCGGACAGTTTCCAGAAGTGACACGTCCGATTTACACTGGCAAGGACGTCAAACACTCTGCAACATGTCTCACTGTTACTAAGGGCCCACCAGTGTTGGCACGCCCAAGACACCTACCACCAAACAAGCTGTGTGATATGAACTCAACAACTCTGGATCCAACCTGTATTATGTGGCTGTATGGCAAAGTTGTAGTCAAGTTCTCAAAGTACCTCAGTCAAAAGACAAACTGTTAAAATGAACCCCGACAAAGTATTTCCTTTGTCATTGGTCAACCCCTGCTGCTTGACGTAACTTGTAAAACACCTTGTGATTTGACTTGTGATATGGATTTGACAAAAAGTCTGAATCCAAGCAAATGCAGTGATTGTATAGCAAAGTTGCAGTCCACATAAGTCAATTACAAGTTGTTGAGCTTCAAGTCAAACATGTGTCAAATGACAAGCTATTCAAATGAACTCAGATATTCCTTTTTCATTGGTCATGCCCAGCTACTTGACCCGACTTGTAAAATGACTTATGAATAGATTTCAACTCTGGATCCTTTACCTGGAGAGATGCTGGTTATTGTTCCTACATAACCAGTTTCCTCTTTCAGTTCTCGTATCGCTGCTTCGGCCACTGTTTCCTCACTATCTACCAAACCTGAGAGGCAATAAACAGCACCATTAAAGTAAAGACAACAATATTTGTTCCTTCTCCATCCATGTTCTCAAGCGAAACCACTTACCGCTCGTTTATCAAAAAACAAATTCTGTAAAGTCTAAATACAGGATGCCCCCCTAAAAGGTAACCCACAAACAAAGGGATGATTTCTATACAGGGCGAGTAAAAAAAAACGGAACCCAAACCCCCCAAATTATATTTCATATTGAAAAAAATATGTAGCACCAAATATAATAATGACTGGAAAGCCAATGTCATAAGCTACTTTTAGATGAAAAAAATACTGAAATTGCTCAATCCGCTCAAAGTATATCACCGTTTAAACACAATGACCCTAAAACCTCTTTCGTCCAAAAATGCGATTTCAAGAATCGTCATCACAATTGTCTTCAAACTTCACCAGCGATAAAACCTCTGTTTATACAAGTTAAAAATATTCAACAAAGTCCTTTTGAAGGACTGTCTTTTAAAAAAAGTGGATTTTATCAATCATATTGTTTGCCGAACCACGATTGTTGATAAAGATATTGTGCACTACAGTTGTTGACAGTTGTTCGGACAAGCATTCTGTGTCATTTTCTTTGTTGTCAGACAGTCAGAATACACAATAAACTGGTTTTTGTTTTGGACGAAACAGGTTTTAGGGTCATTGCGTTTAAATGGTGATATTCTAGTAAATCACTCAAGGGGGTTAGGGTTAAAGAACATGGTTCTCAGCAGTCCACTACCCAAGCTTCAGGCCTGCAGGCCTGCATTTGGCACGCGGTGGACAATTTATGCGATCAACCTGCAATGATGTGATGGGCCATGGAAGAATATGTGCCGAAGACTCAGTGATGCATGACGAGATGTGTGCATCCAAGATATCAATGGAAAGCTTCAGTTGTAAAAACCTAGTGTTTATGATAAAACAATTGTGGTCATTCAAGTTCATGTTTTTTTTTATATATTATTCCTTTGTTTGTTGGTAAAGTTTTTGGGGACACCCTTTATTTTTCTTTTCTACCAACCATGGCCAACACTACATTTTTGTTAATTTTTTTAAATAAAAGCAATCATGGAATATCAAACTTGAAAACACTGAAGCATGCTGGTATCAGGCATGCCAGGGATGCCACTGGGAAGCAATTTAAACAAAGAGAAAATTCCAAGCTTTAACAGACTTAATACATTTGGTGTTTCATTTTATTTGTAATGGCATTAAGCGTGAAATGAAAAAAAAGAAAACAGAAGAGGAAACCAGCTGAGTTGCATGCTTGAAATGGACTGCATGTGCCCCCTCTCTGTAACAAAGACAGACTTAAGTAAAACATCTAGAAAACATTACAGCTGGATGCCGGGCCCCAACGCAGAGATGCCATAGGATTCAGCACATCTCTGCAAAATTATAAGGGGCCATCCATACAGTACCTACACACAAAAAGGGGGTGGGGGTTGTTGCCAGTCATACACTGTACGCAATGGGGAGTCAGGTTGGCATAGTGGTACTTTCCTCGCCTTCCACTGCTGTGACCCGGGTTCGAATCCCGCCTGGGCCAATATGTGGATTGGGTTTTCAGTCCCTGCCTGATTCCGTGGGTTTTCCCCAGAATATTCTTCTAGGCTTTTCCTCCCACCTCTAAAACTGTAACTTCTTCTCACTGTCTTCTCTCCACAGGCTTCTTCAAGCTTGGGAGCTACAGTGCCTAGGGCGCTTTTGAGGAATCCTTGGTTTCATTACCAGAAATGATTAATAATAATAATAATAAAAATAATAACACCATGCGTACAATGGGGAGGGGGATCCAAGCCAATGCGTACGTACGCAGAGCGATAATTTGCTTTCATTAAATTGTCGTAAAATGTATTTACTCATATTGAATACCTACCAGGACCAGCTTTTACATGTACATGTATGCATCGGAAAGCGTTGTACTGTTTGCTACTCTCCACTCCACTATTTAGATTTATCTTCTCAGTGCTACTCGCCAGCAAACGCCTTTAAAGGCCATCAAACTTCAGAGACAGCAACATGATAAAAAGTTGATTGTGATTCGGCCCCTAAGTTTTAGTCAAGTAGATACAAGCACGTCCACCCCAGGAAATAGTGATTAAGCAGTGGTATGATTTTTTACTGTAGCAAGCACAACTTTCTACCAACTGTTAAGCAGCGCTATGAAATTGGGCCGAATGAATTCATTTTTTTTCTTCATAAGAGTCACTCAACCTGTAGCAGCCACCAGGTGAAGGAACAAGGAAAGCAAGCTTCAATGTGAACTCATGCGCTAGTCCTGCAATGAATGACAGTTATTGAAAGCAATCCTACCTGAGGGGAATTCTATTGTGCATGACCTTACAGGTGGTCTGAACTGTCGGACCAGAACCAAACAGTCGTAGTGCAGTAACCGTTTGAGAATTGTGACCATTCCAACCGCTATTAGGAATAAAACAAAATACAGAGCCATACATTACATCTGGACATGTGGATTTCATCTGCCCACTATACTGACAGCCTCACCTGCTGGAAACTCTATTGTGTAACACTTGACCGGGGGCCTGAACTGTCTGACCAGTAAAATGGAGTCGTAGTGCAGTAACCTCTTGACAATGGTTGCCATGGCAACAGCTGTTCAAATTAACAAACATTAGTGGGCTTTAGTTAAAAATGGAAACTTGTGGATTTAAATGGCACCAAGAATTAGGAAAGTGGAAAGTGAAAAAAAATTAGCTTAAAGTTTGTCATATGTAGGTGATCTGCAGATTGCACGTGTCATCTTTTTTTCGCAGTAGATCCCTACCGGTGCATGTTTTGTGTTCTTAAAAAGTCACATTTTGTGCATTTTTAAACAATTACCTCAATTGACCCCTAGATGACCTTTGACCTCCGACTGGAGGGAGTGCTAGTGGTTAAGTAAGGGTTAACCCTCCTGCTATTTAAACAGTCACAGACAGTCAAAATTCATTTCCACTTCCCCTGCTATACTTTTAACAAAGGCTAGTCACCAGCAATTAGATTATATGTCAAGCAAGCACTGTGACTAGTCAAACTGAGTCAACAGACAACGCAGGCAAGTTGTGGTCACTGCTGTTTCATCACTCATAAGGAGTCAAACCAAGCTGTATCAAGTCACTTTAATCAAATTAGGTTTTGCCCTTCACCGACGTTTTGAACACTGTATACTCAGTGTGTTACCTCCCGAGTGAAAGTTGGAAAAAATCACTCGGGTGGGACTCGAACCCACAACCTCCTGCTTTCTAATGCAGATGTCTTACCACTCGACCACTGAGCTAACGGGATCGGTTGGGCGGTTCAAATCTGATGCACATAGCAGCGGGTACCGCATAAACTATTATAAGATGGAATTTTTTTTTGCGCCGGGGCGATATAAATCAAATTAGGTTTTGCCCTTCACCGACGTTTTAAACACTGTATACTCAGTGTGTTACCTCCCGAGTGAAAGTTGGAAAAAATCACTCAGGTGGGACTCGAACCCACGACCTCCTGCTTTCTAGTGCAGATGTCTTACCACTCAACCACAGAGCTAACGGGATCGGTTGGCCGGTTGGAATCTGATGTACATAGCAGCGGGTACCGCATAAACTATTATAAGATGGAATTTTTGCACCGGGGTGATATAAATCAAATCAAATTAGGTTCTGCCCTTTAGGTGATTGAGTGGTAAGACATCTGTACTAGAAAGCAGGAGGTCGTGGGTTTGAGTCCCACCCGAGTGATTTTTTCCAACTTTCACTCGGGAGGTAACACACTGAGTATACAGTGTTTAAAACGACGGTGAAGGGCAAAACCTAATTTGATTTATATCACCCCGGCGCAAAAATTCCATCTTATAAAAGTTACTTTGAGCTAGTCAATCTTGCTTTATGTATGCTGGGAAGTCTTATAACTGTTGAAAACAGTCGTTTGGTTTGATTTTGACTGCAAGGACAACTTGGCAAAGAATGCAAGTTTGCATAGGAGGGTTAAAGAAGGAAAATTAAAACTTGACCAAGCAAGGGTCCTCTGGGCCTACCGTCAGCTACCCCTGGCCTCTGGGGCTTGGTGGTTCTCTCCACCGTCTCCCATGTCCGTATCTTCCCCCTGGGGTCCTTGTAGGTTATCTTCTCCAGAGACAGCCACTTCTCTCGATGAATAGTCTAGTGACATTTCAAAACAAAATTATAACCAGCAGATGAATGGTCGGTCATGTCTGATAGAATTTCTGAATTGAACTGAAACTCTGAAAATTAAATATTTATGGGCATGTTGATAGGTTGATTTTAATTAGGGAGTAAGCATGTGCTTGGCTGGTTTTAAACAAGTCCATTTAAGACCGATTGGGTGAATGAATGCCAATAATAGCCCGAGCCAAAGGCGAGGGATATTAATGGTGACCAGGCCTCTGGCCAGTCTTAAACAGACTTGTGTAAAACCAGCCAAGCATATATTTATTCCTATTCATAAATACCTTTTCGGTCAAAGTGTCAAACAAGTCGAAAAATGTAACTTTCCAACCATTTTGTACTATCACAATGAAATCCTATCCTTGCCAATAAAAAAGAATCCAAACAGCTTTTGGAGTGTTTCAATACAAAATGTACATTCAATCCTTTAGATTGATAACTGAAGCTTAACCCTAACCTTCCCAAATCCTCTTTGCAAAACAGAGGATTTTGCAGGATTGAGGCTATATGGCAAACAATGTGTGGCTGATTTTGAAGGCTGCACTGTTTCAAGATCTTGGGCTGGACATTGTGTTGTTTTTGCTCAGCCGTGCATAAAGTTAGGCCCAAATTGTACCTACTTGAAATCCTCTTCACTTCTCCATGATGTCACTGGCTCTGCCTCAGCATATACAGTGATTGCTGGGGGAGGTCGCAGGATTGAGGCAGTGGTCACCCCTCCAAGGACCACATTCAAGAAATAATGGAGGATTTTGCAGGACTGAGGCTGTATGCAAGTTTTACATGGAGGCAGTTGGAGAATTTTACAGGATTGAGGTTGCATCCTAGCAAAAATGCCTAGGGAGTTAGGCTAATGTCTTGACAAAAAGTCTGATATATATGCCAATAAACTGTAACAAGAATCTATGAAAACCCACAACTAGCTTGCAAAGTTTCAATAGATTAAATCCTTTATTAGTCTGATAGTTTTGCTTTTACACGAAGCTTAACCCTTACTCCCTACTGGGTTTTACTATGAACAGTACCAAGTCCGCTAAAATCCGTCACTGACTATGCTTCGAATAATGTTTCAGGTCCAAATCCACCAAAGTCCACCACAAATCCACCACTGCTATGCATGTAGGTGGATTTTGAAGGACTTGGTGCTCATGGCTGCCTACTAAAAAAAAAAACACTAAATAATACAAAATAAAAAAATGAGTTTGATGTAAAATCACCTCTTGTTTGATAAACTCTGATTTCGGTTTGTGGGCGTTATTGGTCGGTGAGGAACTGGTGCCTTCACTTGACATCTCTAATGAAGCTTCACAGTGTGCAGATGAACAGGACACTAGACGAGCAACACCCTTAAACTGTTGGGAAGACAGTGGCGACAACTGGCCCAACAATCTGCAGTGTAGGATTATTATAAAATAATGAATGAAAAATATTGCAATGATATTGAAATACATTGTATAACACTTAATGATCAGGGAGTTAAATTAGACACAAATCTTTGTGGTTGTACAAATGGATGAAGATTTTTAGATAAAAGAATGTTTTTTTCGAAAATGTATGAGTGCCTTTACGACTAGGAACCTTAACTTTGGACATTTCTGACCTGGATGAGAAGATAATCTCGATCAAAATCGGTAGCAAAATCGCTACATCAGAGTTTAGCGTTTAGGGGAGCAGTGGCTGTCTGGCCGAACTACAGAGCTTGCGATAGTACTGTACGGCCAGATGCAGTCGGGCGGTAATCCTAATCTTTAGGACACCTCTATTTTTTACGAGTTATGTTCAAAACTGAATTTTGCAGATGACTGTCCAGTACCAAAGTGACGGAAAGATTTCCATATAAGAAGTTCACTAATTTTCCTCTGTATTGACTAACAAGCCCCCAGATAGCAATTTCATGTCATCAAAGTCAATTTGACATGTTTGAGCAATGAGAAAATACAACCATTTTCTTAGAAAACACTTAGAATTGTTCAGTCCACTCTCATAGGGTTTGTACACAGGGTGTTGAATGCACTTCTTATATGGAAATCATTCCACAATGTGACTTTCCTATTTTTTTTGCAGTCAGGTGCATGTTGTCGTTCTCACAACACGAGTGAACAATGGTGAAAGCCCTACATAATGAAAGCTTGATGCTGATTGGCTGCTAAAAAAAATAAATAAGATGTTTACTTTTTTATCACCCAATCAGCATCAAGCTTTCATTGCATCGAGCTTTCATGTTTGCCATCTTGGTTTTTGAGTCAGTTTTCTGGTCCGGTTGTCACCGTCGTCTTTTACCCCTTAAATTCCGCGTAATTTCCCTCATATTAACAAACTCAAAGCCCTGCCCTCTTTCCACAAAATTAAACCTGCTGATATTCAAGAAGGTGTCACTGCCAATTGTTCAGATGTGTCAAGAAATATCAGAATGTCAATTTTGAGTGTCATTTAGTCAACTGTTTTGGTGAGTCTTTCCCTTCCTATATAGGAACAGGGTCCTAAAACTGTAAGGATTACCAGTCGGGCTACTTGCTAGTGCAGCGTTACATACATGTGAATTTCCGAATAGCATGTCAGCTGGAGTTATGTCAAGCTAGCACTCCCATTACACACTAGGCAGTCAGTACCAGTTTTCCTTATGTGGTCGAATCAGATTACTGACAATGTGACATGAAAACCATATCGTGACTTTACCTTGAAACCCTTCCAGCCAGATTGAACTTCACTTTCCAGAGCAGAAGGAGTGACCGAAGCTGTTCCTTCGTATAATTATATTACGTACATGTACACCCGTACCCCCGTATAGAGAAAGCGCGTGTGGCCGTACGTGCAATTCGTGCAACACACCTGGCTCAAGCTGGCCGCGATGTCGGCCCGAATTCCAGCCTCGAACTCAGCCTCGTACTTAACAAATCTAAAACACATGCACCAAAAGGAGGTCGCTATTCCCATTAACTTGTGCACAGTTTTGACACGCTCCTTTAAAACCAAAATCCCCCCCCCCCCCTATAAATAAATGAAGTGCACATTTTTAGTTCATTATCTGAAAGACCAAACCACTGGGCACACTTAATTTGGGATAAGGCTGAATCGGTGCATTTTTAGTACCCAGCCTCACATTATGAAAATGACATATTTTTTCCCATTAATTTGTGCACAGAGAATGAACTAAAAATGTGCACTTTATTTATTCCTAGGGGGGGATTTTGGTTTTAAAGGAGCGTGTCAAAACTGTGCACAAATTAATGAGAAAAATATGTCATTTTCATAATGTGAGGCTGAGTACTAAAAATGCCCCGATTCAGCCTTATCCCAAATTAAGTGTGCCCAGTGGGTTGGTCTTTCAGATAATGAACTAAAAATGTGCACTTTATTTATTTCTAGGGGGGGGGGGATTTTGGTTTTAAAGGAGCGTGTCAAAACTGTGCACAAGTGAATGGGAATAGCGACCTCCTTTTGGTGCATGTGTTTTAGATTTTTTGAGTGCGAGGCTGAGTTCGAGGCTGAGTTCGAGGCTGGAATTCGGGCCGACATCGCGGCCAGCTTGAGCCTGGTGTGCAACACGTACGCAAAGATATGCTAGGAATGAACCCCGTACTTGTTGTATGCATTCCGCGCGCAATAGGTGACACGAATCTTAGGCACCCGACTATTCAGTGTCCTTGTTTACAGGGCCAACATAGGCCACTATCCACAATAGATTTGCATATAACTGTAGTATTTATTTACGCTGCGCCGCTGGCGTAATTTTTATTCCTAGGAGGGTTAGGGGCAATGTCATGAATAATTCATGTTATCCATGAGAACGGACAATGACATCAACAGCATTGTTGTTAGTTACTCAACTAGTTACAATACATTAAAGCATTTTAAAGAACAGTTGTCGTCGAGCTACCACACAGTAGCCTAGTGGATAGCGAGATGAGCTATGGATACAAAGATCCCTGGTTCGAATCCACGTCGTCGCTGCTCATTTTCAGCAGCTATTTTTCTTCTCCAAATTTATCACTAAGATAATTTTAAATTAAGGGGAAAATAGAACGAGAACCTAAGTCTTGCAATGATTCAAAGGAAAAACTGAATTATTCATGACATTGCCCCTAACCCTCCTAGGAAAAAAAATTACGCGCGCCGCTGACCAGTGTTTGTGTAGCGCGCCCTCTTTTATGAGAAATTGATGGCAGCGAAAAGTACGGAGTGTCCTTCCTTACACCGTAGTTTTTATTGTCATTGCGTTAATTTGTTTATTCCATGGTTCCCGTCGCTCGTCCATTTTTATAATGTAATAATATCACAACCAATTACTGAACGAAATTTCTATTTAATGCAATGCGTTTTTCTTGAGTTATCGTCTGCACAAAAAGTGTTTTATTTTTGTTCAATTAAAAGTGACTTGATTTCGGAGTTTTCTTTGCGGATAAATCCATGGTATATTCTTTAAATGATATTAAATGTATCCTTCAATAGTTCCCGTTATTTTTGTTAAACCAGTCATGTAAATATAAATAGACCAATCTTTAGACGATTTTATTTATGCAACGCAATATGCTTTTCTTAAGCTATCGTCTCCACAAAGAGTGTTTTACTTTTGATCAATTGAAAGTGACTCGAATTCGGATTGAATTATTTGCGATTAATACACTGTATTTTCTTTAAATCATATTAAATGTATTCTTCCACGGTTCCCGTCAGTTTTCACAACACTTGTGTGAAATACCACGGCCAATTATTGGACGAAATTTCAATTCAATTCAAATTGTTTTTCTCGAGATATTGTCTCAACAAAGAGTGTTTTACCTTTGTTCAATTAAAAGTAACTTGAATTCGGATTGAATTTTCCGCGATTAATACACTTTATTTGCCTTAAATCATATTAAATGTATTCTTACACGGCGGTTCCCGTAATTTTTCAAAAGTCTTGTGTATAATATCATATCACTGCCAATTATTGGACGAAATTTCAATTCAATGCAATGCGTTATTCTTGAGTTATTGTCTCCACAATGTGTGTTTTATTTGTGTATAATGGCAGATCATGATCCGCATTGAAGACGGTGTTTACCAGTGTTTGTGTAACGCACCCTCTTTTTGGAAGAAATTGATGGCAGAAAAAAATATTTAGGGTGTTTCCTTACACACCGTATTTTTTTTAATGTCGTTGCATATATTTTTTTCTTCCATGGTTCCTGTCCCCTTGCAATTTATTATTATTATTATTATTATTATTATTTATTCGACCTCAACAAAGAGTTACAAACAGTGATACAAAACCAAACAAAAATTACACAAAAGTTGTTGAAAACGCACAACAACAGGAACGTATAAACATGTAATTTAAATTATTAAAAAATCATGAAGTAGAGGGCATGCACTTTAAATGACAGCCGGAGTGGGCTTCCCAACTGGGAGTTGAACAATAATCAGTAAGACACAAAAAATCACAAAGAAAACGATTATGTGGGTCAGGGACCGCAAAAGCGATTCTAATCACTGTTGCTCGGAAGCATGCGGACCCCCACATTGTTTATGTCATTATATGCCCCCACAATTAGTAAGCGAAATTTCAGTTCAATGCAATGTGTTTATTCTTGAGTTATCGTCTGCACAAAGAGTGTTTTATTTTTTTAAATTAAAAATGACGAATCTGTGTACCGAGTCTCATAAGTTTTGTCACTCGATGGCCGAGATCTTGCCCCCCCCCCCCCGGCTGTGAGATGGTCAAAATAACCCAGTCCTTTTATAAAGGGTTATTTTTGTATCAAGTTTTTTTTTATATAGAATTGAGGATGAAGACGTACTGTTCACATTATTTTTCAGGAAAATAATGTTTGATTACAGACTAATGAAAGACTGTTGGAAACAGCGAACAGAACAGAGGCCTGATTTACAGTGTTAACAAACAAATCCGTTGAACAAATTATTTCCTTTTTCAAAGACGTCCTTATAATGTTAAATAGTAATGGCGGAGTTCAGAATCTGTATCTGACCACAGAATACAAAGAGTAGAAGTCAGGCGCGGATCCAGACGGGGTCGAAACACCCCCCCCCCCGGCCCCCGGCCTGACTCACACACAAAAAATGCCTGCCCGCCTGTCGGCAACAATCGATATAAACATCTAACGGGCCTGGACACCCCCCCCCCCACCTCACCACCACCCCACAAAAATTCCTCTTCCGCTCCAGAACGCACATGATGCATTTTTCTAAAAGCCAACGTAACATTGTACAATAGTGTTCATATGCATTGTTGCGTAACGATAAGTAGGTTTAGCACACGTATTATAGGCCTACGACTAACGACGCTGCCGTATACAATTTTCCAAACAAATAAAGGCTGTTGGCTCATTGTTGCCCGAAATATCGACTTCTGTTCGTCCCCCCCCCCCCCACACACACACACTTACGGTATTCAAATTTCTGCAATATAGTTCTTTTATTTCATGTAAAGTAGGTAAAACATTCTATATGGGAATCATTTAAAACACATGCATTTAAAGAAGAAAAATGGTTCTTTGCAGCACTTCCTGACAAATCAATACGGCTATCTAACAACCTTTTGTTTACAAATAATAATGCCCCATTGTTATTCCCTTATTTTTCCTATAACCGCACACTGTACATATACAAAGCAATATTTGAAAAAACTAAATGATCTATCTTATGTTAATTAAAATAAAATATCTCAAGTTTATTGCCACAAACTGTACAGTACGGTTTTTTTTAAAATATACTATGAGTTTAAAGGACCCATGCAATGTAATTTTTCTGAATGCAATCCTAGGAAATAAACCTTTGTGTCCTCCTTAACCGTAGTTTAAATTTTCATTTTGTCATTTTCAAGGGTAGGCCTATATTGGTGCCTGTTTTGGTTTTTATGATCATGCGAATTTACAATTTATTCATGAGCAAAAGTATGTCAGTTCAGGCAGAAACCTCAATGTTACAGCTATTTATCAGCACCAGAAGTTGCTAGATTTTTGGATAGTTTGCTGTCACACATTTTCTTTTCTTAGGTGATTCTCTGTTGTGTCAAAACATGGCAGCAAATCAATGAGCAAACTTTTCTCACAAATGTTTTCAATGAGTAAAAGTTTGGGTTCACAATTTGAACCCCCCAAAAACCTAATCTGAACATTGACTTCCTGAAATGACATGACAGAAACAGCGACCTCCATTGTCCAGGAAACATGGACAGTTTTAAATGTTACAAGAAGTGTACTTTTGAATAAAATTACACAGAAAGGGATGTCAAATGGTTTTTATACATTTTAGGGGAGTAGAAACTTCCTAAGAAAATGTTCCTGAGTGTAAATAATAATATCAATACAAGACGATACAATACAATAAAACAATAAATATACTAATATAGAATGGGCCAACACCACTAGCACAAAGCCATATGACCACACAAATCATGTGCATACAAATAGCTGTATCAACAAAGGCATCGGCTGTATTACTTTTCTATAAGCACTGGCATAGGAACTGGCCATCCTGCAGTCAATTATAAAAAAAAAATGTTTATTCTGAGTTATGCTTCTTTACGCTTCTTTTCAATTTTCGCATTAACTCCTTTTGGAGAAAAAAAACCCAATGTATCTGCGCCCGTGTCACTTCCTTTATCGTGATTAAGATATGAGCATCGACACTTTTTAAGATGACAATCGCATGAAAGAGGCCACGAACTCTAAAAAAAAAAAAAAAAAAAAAAAAATTATCCACGACCAATCCCCTAACCGGTTTTAAACGTACTTGTTTAATACCGGCCAAGCGCATAATTTATTCCAATTCATGAGTACCTTTCTGTCAAAAAGTCGAAACATGTCAATACTTCACACATATTTTCAGACAATTTTCTTCAACAATTTTCTTCAAGTCTTGTGAAACACTCATCCGGCCGTGTCTACGGTATCTGCCTCGCGTGTATAGTGTAAAACGAGCTTCTTTTATGGAAATCGGTACGCGCGCGGTGCGTACTGCACAATGTGGCGCAGAACGGTTTAAAACCACCCAAGTGGCGAGCTCTTTACCAAAAGAAATAGGTAAACTGTCTCAGATATGACTAGTTCTGCATGTGCAGACTTTGCAAGAATGTATTGAATGGGACTGCTCAGTGCATGGAGCAAAGACAAACACAAAACAGGTTACTTTTATTTCAAAAGAGTGAAACTTTAATTTGCTCTCTCTCTGACTGAAAGTAAGAGAGAAAGATACATCTTTAACTCAAGTTTCAACTCAAGTGATACATTTTCAAAGTATTTCAATCTGTATGATATTGATCTTCACTTCCGGTTTTGCAGTCCCAAATTTCATTCTTTGAAAATTAAAGTGAATTTCTAACTGAGGAACAGTTTTGGGAAAAGAAAAGTATTAAGGTGAGAAGACTTAACCAGAGTAAAATCTCGACGCTTGTTTCAGTGTGCTTTGCCATATGAAAAGATATTAACCGCAATCAGTTATCCAATCTTCTCAGAGCCACACTGTTGTGGAAAAGGGTGAGTAACTTCACATGGAGTATCCGTAATTTTATCCATAGTTGTACTTTGGCCATGCAATCATCAGGCCATGTAAGCCTAATCTATTCGACAGGTGTGATTGTAAAGATTCCTTTCGTAGGAGGGAGTGTATTATTGCTTGTCTGCAGTCCGCAGCCAGCTTCTACATCCTTGCCCAGGTCTTGGTCACTTTGGGGGAACTTCTGTGACACCTCTGGGTACGGGACATCCCCACAAAAGTTCTGTGGTCCAGCCACTGTGCACAGAGACTGAAAGAAGAACGTACCGTAAACCCAACTAACAACCATCACAAGCATCAAGAACAGGCCAATCTGGTAGTAAGCGAGGACCCTAGCGGGCAGAACCAGAGCCCCTGCCAGGAACGATGACAGAGCAGCCATCGAGATGGGCGGTGTCATGGTTGTCAGAGAGTAGCGCGCACGCTGCCTTCGGGTTTTCAACGGCGAGAGTTTGTACGCAACTCCGTAGTGAATGGTAAAGTCTATGGACAGACCCACAGCCAATGTAATGATGGTTGCCTCTACAACATTCAACTCCCAGCCAAGAAGAACAAGGATTGCCACAACGACAAAGACAGTGCTGGTTATGGTTAACATAGCCCAGAGCGTCAGCAAGATATTCCGTGTAGTCAGAAAAAGTATCAGGGATGCTGTTGCCAAAGTTAACAGCATAGCGACTGGGACACCTTTACGAAGACTCTCTTGGAGATCATAGAAGCGAATTGCGATAGAATCAGATACGAACCAGCCTCTCTGCAAAGAAACAGGTGCTGAGTCGACTTTCTCTCGGACCCAAGCATCTACAGTCGTCCAAAATTCGTTGCTTGTGTCATAGTTAAAACTACTTGGATAGGTTGTTTGGAAGGGTACAGTCAAGACAGCAATCTCTGAATCTTTGTTCCGGAGGAACACAGTCGGTAGGAAGCCCGCATTAGTATACTTTGCGACGCAAGAAGTGAACAGAGCTGGTTCATAAGGGAACCCCGACTGATTACAACAGGGAGACAAATTGAAGCCAATGAGTGGATTCGCGCAGTCTGGGGATTTCATGAAGCTAATGAAATCCTCGATAAAACAACCCGTTGCCTGACCCGCCCTGTAAAACGGTTGGCTTTGTAAGTCGCGACAGAAATCAAGAAGCCAGGTTTGATCCTCGGGATCAGATAACTGGAAACTCTCGTCTAGCGAGAGTGTTCCCAAGTCGTCCGGATTCCAGGTATCGCCATTATCGGCAGCTTGAACACCCCATACGATACTGCCCACGTGATCTGGGAATTTGCTCTTCAAATACGACATCTGATCCCGGTAAATAAAATCAAACTGCTCGAAAGGGTGAGAACTTGCGAAGATCTGAAATATGGGAGTTGCGGGTAGCCTAAGGGTTGGATACAAGAAAACTACAACCACACTCCCTGCCATTAAAGAAAGAAACAGGATTATCCATATCCAACGCAACTTCAGTACTAGAAAAGGAACCAGGTTTTGGTGAAACACATTCAGGCGTTCGAAGATCATCTCCTTGATGTCTCGTTTCGGTTTACAAGTGAGCGAAGAGCAACACCAAATGGTCAATTTGTGTTGCATGACAATTACAGCTGGAAGAAGAGTCATTGTTAGTACCAGATTCATCACAATAGCTGTGCCTGCAAACACAGCGAAGCATTTGACGAAGGGGATATCACTGACGGCCGTTGTGTAAAGAGCTGAGGCTGTTGTCAAACTGGTCACAGACATAGTCGCAGCGGTGTGACGTAGGGTTTTATGAAGAAGTCTTGGTAGATCTTGATCACCCAACTCCGATTTGAACTTCTTCCACAAGTCCATGAACACAAACGTGTCGTCCGCGCCAATCCCAATAATCAGGACTGCAGTAACAACATTACCGAAGGGGAAAAATGGTCTTTGGAAGATAGAAGTGTAGAGAAAGTAAGCCAAGACGAGTGACAGAACGGCGTTTACCACGGCTGCTGAAGTTACCAAAATGGATCCGCAGTAAACCCAAATGAGAAGGAAAATTGCGGCACCAGCAATGCCGAGGTATAAGCTATCAGAGTACAAGAGACGAGGAAATACTTCAAACTTTATGAAAAATTCAACGGCTTTAAGTTTTGTTACCCCATCAGAGTCTGGCTTGTTTTCTATGTTCTCTACATAAATGGTATCCAGTGCAACTCTCTCACTGCGTCCTGATATCGGGAAAAACACAAGGGTGAAAGGGGAAATCAAAGGATTTGTATTTCTGATAATATTCAGACTGAATTCTGTGGGAAGCAGGTAATACAGCACAGTGTGAATTGCAAAGTTGTGTTCGGCGCATTCGCAAGGGAAATCGTCCGAAATGTTAGATTTTAACAAATCCGCCCCAGACACGTTATACAGAAATGGCGCGCAAAGCTTACACAAGTCGACAGTGCGGCTTATATCTTCCTCTTCGATATCTGCGCAGGATGATTTGTTGGACAGCAGGGCTATATAGTTGCCTATTGACCAGACACTAGGACAGTCACTGTCGGTGTGGTTACCGCGGCAGAGGCAGTGGTCTTGGTAAGCCGGGTGGGATGTTACATAGCGCTCCTCTGCTTTGCAACTTGACTTGAGAGCTTCTGGCGTTAGTATGTTACCGTCCACGCTCTCCAAGACTAATGTAGCAACCGTGTCATCCCAGTCCCCTGCAGAAATGAAAATATTTAAAATGAACTAAAGCACTGAGGGAATAACAAGTTAACTGTTGCTTTGTAATGTTACTTGAAAGAAGACAAGCAGTGTTTGACACTACGTTTTGGGGTCTGATTTTGTTAGTACAACAGGGTTGGGTGTAAAAAAATAACTTGTTTCAGTTTACTACAAATTCCTGCTTTCTTGAAGTAAAGCCTGTAACAGAAACAAGTTGTGTATATGGTGAGAAACAATAGCAATAACCTACGATTATGACTGAGACCACACATGACTAAGACCTCTCAAATTAAGCTCTTCATGAGGTTTTGGTTTTCAGAGGAATGGAAAATCACCACATTAGATTCGATTGACAAAGTCCGTAAATCGTAAAAATTCAAACAATAAACAAAAATGAAAGACGAGATGAACTTAAAGTTTATTAGAAGACATCACAAAGTTTTTCAACAAAATAAACGGAAGTAAAAGCGATTGAGTCCTTGCCGTGTAGTTTGCGGAGATACCATAATATATCTCCACAGACGTAGTTCTGACAGCAAACAAGGAAAGAAAAACAATCGAAACTTTGACGAGATAAAGAAAATATGGAAATGGGATAGCTCTGTGCTGGGAAAACACAGCAGCCTGGAAGCAGCAGTGCATGCGGGCATTTGCCACGGAAAATATTTGACTGCTAGTGTTTATACAGGGTGTAAATAACCCACAAAAAAAGTGATAATATAAATGTAGCAGCATCGTTTGCCCGCCGGCCGAGGCCTCCGTATAGGGTGGAGAATGAACTCTTGGTAGCGATTTTTTCCCCAAACGACATCCGCATCGGGTATACGATATGACGTTTTGGACAGTTCTGGATAAAACATAGTGAACACAACCAGACATAAGACAGTAGCTTGACGGCCGGGATGTTCAAGAAAACATGAACAAAACACAGGATTTCCATCATTATCTTGTTCCGTTCCACAACGCGAATTGCATTTCAACCATCATGGAATAATTGTTACATGTACCTTCCAACATAATTGGCGGTGGGGGAGGGGATCCAAAACAGTTTACCCAGGCCAACAGACTCATTGCTGTCAGGAATCGTTTTCAGGAACTTTTGGAAACAAAGTAATCGTACTAAATCATGCTGTGGAAGACCTCTGTAGATCACTGGATTATATATGACCTTTTTCTTGGGGGGGGGTGGCTATTTAAAGAACAAGGTTCCAGCCTGCAGGCTATTCAGCCTTTAGGATTTACAGGCCTGCATTTGGCACGAGGTGGAAAATTTACGTGACCAACCTGCAATAATGGTGAGATGGACAATGGAAGATATGCGTCAATGCTGAGGGCTTTGTACTGAAAGGGTCGGTGGACATGTGGAAGGTGAAACGTACATGCAAGGTGTTGATCCTGAATGAGTAAGCTTATCAACTGGCAGTAAGTCTGCTTTGCTTAACATTTCACAAATTATTGTCCTTGAACCTGTCTTATGTTTGATTGTGCTCTTACCAGTTTACCCGAAACTGTCCAAAGACGGTTTTTGCGTACCATTTTTAAAACAATGAAACTCAGTGTACATGATCAGAGGAATGCATCCAAGAAAGATCACTGCCCTAGTTTAAGATAAACCATTATTATGGTCATTTTAGTCATAGCTTGATCATAATTATCCCATTGTTTGTGTGCTACCTTATTTTTATTTATTTTTTTTGGGGGGGGATACCCTGTATAATACATGCATAGCAATTTGGTTTTTATACAAGCCTTACAAATGGAATTGCAGAACTGAATGCCCGGGGCAGGTTCCAGATTCTTCTTGTCTTCTTCTGTCTCCTTGGTCAGCCAACACCAACCAACAGGTGTTTGGGTCATATTAGAGGATTGGGAATTCACCACACGAGATGGATGGTCGACCAGGAGATCCTCGGAATCATGCAGAAGGTTTTGGAAGCTGAATACACGTGATGCTATATCTGTGCCACGAGGTTGGTAGCCCTGCAGATGGAGCAAATGACAAAAATAAAAATAAAGAACACTTATGTCAGAATCAGGGTTATGTTAAATTTTGTCACTCGCAGGTTACTCCCCAGCCGGTACCCATATACACTGGGTGGAGAGAGGCAAGTGGGGGTGAAGTGGCTTGCCCAAGGGCACACGATTTGATCAGCAGCTGGATTCGAACCCCTGACCCTTTGATCATGAGTCACGAACCCTAACCACTAGGTCACACTCCCTACATAATTCAACAAGGTAAGGATAATCCACAACATCTTATTCAATTGTCAATTATTCCAGTTGGTAGGAGATTATACAAACCCAGTCTATAATCTCACAAGGCTACAATATATGTTACTTGTACACTTGCTGTAATTTCTGACAGTTGCTGCTGGACGTACCTTACTGGGATCTGTGAAGTCTGGCAGATCGTACAAAGTGAACACTACGACAGCAAAGGCAGCAGAGGCCAGAAACACCAACAAACAAATCACGTACCAGAAACGGCTCAAGATCCTGGCGTACCTATAAACATTAATAATGGAATACATGATGAGCTTTTGGTCCGGTTTAAGCAAGTACATGTACGTTTAAAACCGACTAGCGCTCTAGCCCGCGCGAGCCGAAGGCGAGGGTCATTATCCGCTTCCAGGTCCCTATAGCCGGTTTTAAACGAACTTGTTTAATACCGGCCAAGTACATTTACTCCAATTTATCACCTTTCGGCCACCAAGTCAAAACAAGTGAAAATTCAGCATTTTCCAACGATTTTGTGCAACAATTTTACCTCATCTTTAGGGAAACACCCCTCTTGCCATGTGGTATGTGCCTCGCGCGTTTTGCTAAACAAGTGTGAATGCATGATAAGCTCTGGCGGTCTTGCATGAAATTATACAATTACTCACTTAGTCGTGATTGGCAATTGAAATAAGAATTTCCCCATTTTGTTGAAAGTCACAATGCAAAATAATAGTGACCTTCGTAATGCAATCGTATCCTCACTCGAACGCCCTGAGACTCGTAAAAATGACACAGGGCCAGAGGCAGGGGTGATGTACAGTGACAGGTGTATAGCTTCTTAAGTTCGTAGCACACACGAACAATTTTAATCAAATATTTAATGTACTTTGTTTGCTTTTTGGACAGTTATAATTTGGTACTTACAGTTTTATGGGTGTGTTAGGGGGTTCGTTTTTGTTTGTTTTTCTGGGGGAGGGACTGGGGACCGACTGACCGACCGACCGACCAACACCCGAGTGACTTGTAGAAGCTGTGTTGCCAGAGCTTAAAAATCTCCTTTTAGTGACGGGCTCTTTACAAATAGGAATGGGTAAACTGTCTTAGGTAATTATGAAGAAGGAATTTAAACAAGGGCGGGGGTACTGAGATTTCAGCTGAAACGCCGGAAAACAACATATAACTTATAGAATTGCTGATCAGTGACATCTGGACTTTTTCTGCAAATTTTAGGAACACTAATATGTTGCAAAGAACTGATCATTAACACTAAGTGGCCAACCGACAGAGGGCTCGAATTCTTGAGAAAGTATTGCATAGAGCACTTCCTGTATGTAATTTATTCCACTTTGCGATCCATCGATCTCGATTTATCTTTGTGGATGGCGAATACATTAATGGTAGCGAGACTTTTTTACCATTCTCTTTCGAGAAAAAAATCTCATTGGAAAATATATAATATCTGGTAAGCCGAAAGGACAGGCACATCTGCTATATACTCGTGATAAAAAGGTTATAAAGAGGTTATGAGAACACTAGGTATGAGAAAGAAGTCAATATCAAGTTATACCACAATTAAGTAAGAGGGGACGAACATAGTACAGGGTGAGAAAAAAAAAGGAAACCCAAATGTCGGGACTATTGTTTTAGTGAAGTTTTGCATGTATAGCACTTTCAAAATCTAGGATATGAAAGCCCAATTCATAAGCTTTTTGTAGAACAAGAATCATTCCAATCACTCATGTTCTTTTCAAGTTACGGAATTTTAAACACAATCACCGTTTTAGGCCAAAAAAAAAGTCTCCGGTTTCTGGTATGGAGCTCGCCCAAAAAGTGGTGCGTCGACGCGGCTTTTTTTTTTTTTTACCTGTTTTTTTTGCTTCAAATGTCGGCTGAGGACTGCAATTGGTGCCCGACTAAACTTAGTGAAAATATATGGGAGTCCAGAGAGACCACATAAAGCTTATTCTCGATCATAACCCATTGTACAGCAGCAGGATTCCAGTCAAACCAGTGAGTTTGGCAGTTTTGAGACATCATCTTTTATTGAAAAAAAATCTTTTTTCATTTTGCCGACGCGCATGGCTACGGCGACGCGCGCGCATACTAGAAACCGGAGACTTTTTTTTTTGGCCTTAAAGTTCTGTCCACGGATCAGCAAAACGAAAACAATTCACACACATCCCTATATGTGATTTGTTTTCGTTTCGCTGAAATAACACTTAATTTTTTTGTGATCCGTGGATAGAATTTTAAAATGGTGGTTGTGTTTAAAATTCCGTAACTTGAAAAGACATGCGTGATTTGAATGATTTTTGTACTAAAAGCAAGCTTATACGTTAGGCTTTCACATTTCGAAAGTGCTACATGCAGAACGTCACTAAAAACAATGGTCCCGACATTTCGTTTTTTTTACTCACCCAGTAGAGTGCCTTTGCCACAATTCATCTGAATAGTTTGTGACATGAATTGGGACTGGAGGATTTACATTTGATAGAATTAATATAATAGGATTAATAACTAATTGATAGGATTAATTGGATGAACTGGTTCCACACTTACATGAAGCACGGCCCTCCGCTCCGATCTTCAGGTTCGCTCTGGCCACGGTTAATCTGTTCGTCATGCGGCTGGATTTGATTAGATCGAACGGATTGTTCGGTAGGATGCCGATTTGTCGCATCCAAAACGAAGGCAGACTGTCCTTGCATGGCCGACATGACGATGGCAGTCATAAAAAACTTGAACCTGCGTTTCAGGTAATGCGTAGTTAAGTTCCGCACTGTTATTTATTCCTGCAGGTGCTATAAACTACAATGAAGCTCTCAATGGTGGCTTTCCCCCAACACGCACTCTCAACAATGAAGATCCAAACAATCATAAGACGCAAATAAAGCATGGGACAGGCTGTAATTTCTCATGACGTACATGCAGGCACTGTTCATTCACAAAGTGCTTATCACCAACACGAACCGAAGGGAACAAATACCAAACAACACAAAAACTTGACCCTGACCAGGTTTTTGTTTTGTGTTGCAAAGGTACCATGCATATTATTTATTTGCATGACAATAAATGCGTGGGCATATAGGCCTATACGCCTAGGTGAAGATTGTGTCGAGGTCAAAACGAAAGAATTCTCAGAACCACACGTACACTCATAGCCTACATCAAATGGTGTTACCACAAACATCCCATTCATTCATTGAAATCAATTGACTTCAAGCGAATCGTCATACTTTAAGTGAAACTCAGGCACGGTTCTACGGGAGGGGGGGGGGCTAGGGGGGCTTTAGCCCCCAAAATTTTTGTCTAGCCCCCAAAAATAAATTCCGTAAAAAAAAAAATTGTATTAGCAAAAAGAAGGATTGTGATGTACATGTGTACATGCGAACGGTCTCCCCCTAAAGAAATAGTCGTGACAAGCGTGCATTTGTAGTTAATATAGTGTGAATGATTTTAGGATTTTATTGGCGCTCCCCACCTATTGATTTTCGGAGGCCTAAGTGTCTGGAGAAAATAACCGGTCTACATTTCAGCACGCCTCCCTGAAAAAATTCTGGATCCACCCTGCAAGCCCCCAAAAAATATTTGTTCTAGAACCGCGCCTGGTGAAACTGCATTACCATGACATGTAAATTATACCACTGAGGTCTGCGACAGTAAATACTGGTCTGCAATTAACCTGGAATGGCTTGGAGAGGACAGATCGAGCTTTGGCTCAAGGCAAGGAGACGGGGGAAGCTTTCGGTGTTGGAGCTGGGTCGAAGGCACTTTTGTATGCCAAGGGCGGATCCAGGGGGGGGGGGGCAAAGGGGGCCATGCCCCCACCCCCCCCCCCAAAAAAAAACGAAACAATTTTTTTTTTTTTTTTATGTGACATCGCAATAAAGGCAGGCAATGAGTACACCGCTATCTTTTCCTCAAAAAAACATTGGTTAAAGTGGTCAGAAATTGCCTCAGATCGCACCACAGAGCATCTAGAATAAAAAAAAAATTCGGGGCCCTTAAGCGGGCCCCGAACCCCACGCCGTAATTTTTTGGACCCACTTTTTTGGGGGACCAAATTTTTTTTGGCCCCCCCAAAAAAAATAGTGTTCTGGATCCGCCCTTGTTGTATGCATGATTTTGCTATTGTTTGTGGCCCAAAAGAGGGGAGGGTGTTAACAATCCCCCCCCCCCCAGATCTGCCACTGCCTGGACTCTTTCTGTATTCCTCTCTCGCATGCAGTATACATGTAGCCTAAACGTTTCTCATCAGTACGTTAATTGGTAGACTGGAACTGGTAACCGAATGGAATAGAAGAAAGGGTATAGCGAGCCCACAAAAATGTATTGGTTAGTACAATAAAAAAACACGATATTACGATACCGACTTCCAATTCAAATTGGTCAAAATCGCCGACCGCCAAAAATAGTAGGCATTTATCAGCAATTTTTTTCCTGGTAATATCCGAAAGAGAACATCGATCAGGGTCTTACGTTAGTTCGCGTGTGCCGACCATAAACCACATTGGTCCTTTCAGAATATCACCCCACTTGTGAAACCTATAGAGAAACATCACCCCGGATATGAACCCTTTGAAAAGGGATGAAAGGAACACAATGCCATCACTCAACAGATTGTTGCGTCAGTGCAACAAGGTCGTTATTAACTTGCGTGTCACGACGTCCAGTGTTTGTACATCCCGCCTAGTTTAAGCGAGACACGACCTTTTGACATTGAAAACTCGCGTTTCATGTAAATGACGTCACACACCATTCGCACAAAATTCGCCACGGGCGAGTGAGGGGGGGGGGCTATAACCGCTTTTGGGGTAAAAATCAGTTTTCTTGATTTTTGTCACAAAGTTGAACTTTTTCCAACCGAAAGTGGCACTTATGCAGAACAAATGATGATTTTATGAAAGTTTTGCTTATGTTTTTCATGAGGAAACTGTCAAAAACGTACCCCCAAAAACGAAGAAAATTGTGCATTTAAAGGTAAAAATTCAAAGTAGCTTTTCTTCACTGTGGCGGAAATATTGGATTCCTAGCCTGCAATGTAGTTGGATAAACGTGATCATGAATTTGTGTCTAATGTTGATACTTTTCATGATAGATTAAGGCCACGAAAAGCATGATGCTTTTGACTGCAAATGCAAATGTCCACGTTTTAAACAAAATTGATAAATGCTAGATTATTAGTGGTTTTAAATCAGTTGCCATGGTAAACATGGACATCCAACATAATTATAAATTAGTACCACATTAAAACGATAAAGGAAAGGAAACATCACTTAATTTCAAGCCGATCGGCCAAAGCATTCCAAAGCTGTTGTAAGACTTTTCATTAATTTTGCCCCTGGTTCCGATTGTGTTAAACTCACACAAGTATGAATCTTATCGAAAAAAATAAATAATATGTTAGTTGTTACTCTTTTTGCTGCACTGTGTGTAATAATTGATCGTCTTTAACTGAACATTAGTATTTGAACTGAAATAATTGTGCGTATTTTTATTGTTAACATTGTGATCTTGCATTATTTGTGTTCGTGTATAGCCTGTCTATTTTTGGCAGTTTTCTTTTTATTGAGATATCTTTTTATCTTTTATCCTTTTATCCCTTTTTATCTGAAGTTTTAATACAGAACAAGGAGTCGAATTTTATGTTTTACATGATGAAAATAATTGAAAATAATTGGAGAAAAAACCTAGAGAGAAATTTCTCTCTTAAAAAAAACACCCTAGAATTAAAAAGAGGTTATTTGTGAAACGAAATGAGACGTCCAATTTATCTTCAATATCGTAACGGTTGAATGTTGTAAACGTTAGGTTTAATATAGCCTTTTAATTCTGTATTTGTCTGTCCCGAAAATTAAAAAACAAAATCTGAAATTTTTGGGACATCCTTGGTTTTAAGATCAACATGATATAAACATATTTCTACATATCAATTGCTAATAATTAATTTGATTACATAAGTAAACTCGGTTTGTTCTTGCTCGATTTGTTACATGGCTTATAGTCACCATTGTATGTATTACTTAATTTAACTAACAATATAATTGTCTGCCGTTCCAATGTCCGTCGACCCTCCCAAAAATAATAATAAATACATAAATAAAATACAAATAACAATATCCATATATCTGTTTGGCCCTTTCGGCCCATACGGTTACTTAATGTTGTTATTCGGTGGATGCTATCAGACGCCAGACACTTTTGGTTCCTTCAACAAATTAGTTGTGGCCCGCCCTCTGCTGGTCGTGACAGCAGATACATTGTGTACAGCTCGTTTTTCGTTTGCGTCTCTGCTCAGCATAGCGCCACCATGACCTGGGGGATGTACATGTAGCTTTCTCTTTTTCCCCTATATACTCGTCGGCCCTAATTCTACAACTCATTAAGGCCTAGTTATCCTTAAAGATTCTTTACCGAGCTATTTTCGAATTTCATCCCGAAAAATATTGGATTCCTTTTCTTTAAATTGCAATTTTTTTCTAGCAATACGAGACATCGACGGGAGAGATCATTAGAGTGACAAGATAAATAAAAAGCAAAGCAATAAGTATAAAGCAGGCAGATTAAACTGAGAGAAACGAAGAAGCGAAGAAGAAGCTTTGTAACATATTGGTTGAGCAGATGCGGCTGATAATGACTTTAATATGATATGACGCAATACATCAAAGGTATGTGCAAAGAAATATGCCTACGTCGTTATCAAATTTTGCAGAAAAGCGCGTTCAAAAGTTGATTCTACTTATGATAAATCTTTATCCTAACCTCAGTAGGAAAGGATAGCTTTCAACGATTGCGTGAAAAAATGCACGGTTTCGGGGGGGGGGGGGGGGGGGGCTGGCACCATCTGTCGATGGGGGCGCTGTTCAAAACCGACGATTATGCATACTAACGGAAAATATATGCTGCTTTTCAGAGCGATGCATGCGCGAAATTAAAAAAAAGGCGCCCGTAATGGCCGATCCCACAAAAAAGGCACGCTTTTTTTTTAAAGGACACTTGTTCTGAAAAAAAAGACACTTCTTAACAAAAAAAGGGCAGTTTCTACAACATATTGGGGATATACGCCCCTTACAGCCCCGTTTCAAAGAACAAACTCGGCTACATCTTAGTTAAATTTAAAGGGGTGGTCATAGATGGAGTGTTTTCCCGGCTCCAAGGTTTACTTTACGTATAGTAATGTGAAATATTTCAAAATCTTTGCTCTTTAATCAGCTCAAAAACTACGCTGTCAATCATATTAAGCTTCTTTAAGGACATGTTTTAACTCCGCTTGAAACATTTTGAATTTTTCCTTAAAATCCCGAACATTTTGTATAATGGGTACACAATCGCATTCGTTAACCGAAATGTTTTTCTTGAATACTCCCGACTTCATTTTTGAGGCACAACAGACAGACATTTATTCTTCGATGTATTCTCGCATATGTCTCTTTTAATAATAAATGCATGAAGTGACTAATTTAGTCCGCGATAAAAACATCACTCGCCTACCGCAGCCAAACGCACAGCAGGCCGTATGAATGAATCTGCTCTCCCGTTCCATCGTACAGTGAGAATACCGCGCAACCAACGCACGCTCATTGCATCGCTGATTATCATAAAGGAATCATTAATCACAGTTTGCGAGTCAGCATCAGATTCGCTCACCTTTTACCGGGAGCGGGGGAGGGGGGAGGGGCTGTTATTAAATAAAAAATCTATTCATTTTGTGTGGATCTAATTTTGAGGACCCTTAATCTCCATTTACTTGGATATTAATATGGCTTATAAAATGCGAATTACTAATGTAATTACAGTTGCATAATGGTTGTTATCGTCGACTGTACGAACATATTTTCCGATATAATTTGAACTTACATAGTAGTGAATTTGTCTAGGTTCCATCTGAACATGCCCATTTTTACCTGTAGATCTGTATTGTACATGTACCATTGTGTAATCTGGTTGAATAACGTGTGTGACATGAAGGGGTGAATAAATTCTGACCCTATTTGAAATTAGCCATTGACCTTTTCCCCCACTAATATTCGAGAGAGTTTTTTTTATGGCGAGTGTAATCGTTTTACGAGGACATTAAACCGCAAACTTGTTTTTAAGTTGCTCCCTGTAAATGTTATGTTATGCATTGGATCCATTTTTTTGCAGTGTTTATACCATTATGTCAACATGGTAGACCTATAAGCAACGGTATCTGTGAGATCAACACAGAGGCACACGAAGAAATTGAGAAAAAATAAATGTGCATTAAATTATTGCTTTATGAAGACTACACTTAATGTTCATTCATTAAAAATAGTGGATAAAGTTTTTACCCATCATTATGTACGCCGCACTGAAATACTATACGCATCACTTAGCGCAACAAATCATAATTGCCCGTGGATTTCACAAGTGGTTGGGCCTGCTGAGCCCCCTCGATTCCATAATGGACTGTTCCAATCCCTGACCTTAATGTTTCACTCCCAGAAGAGAACAGGGGAGGAAAGAGACAGAGCGAGATAGAAAGAGCACGGGCAATCGAACACGGTGAGCAGTAAGCATCAACACTAAGCAGCTCTGCACGGAGCACATATCCAACTGCCTTCCTGCATAATGCGCAGCGACTATACTCTGCCCCATCATCATGCATGATCGTGACACGCTACGTATTTTCCGTGGATGCCCTTGATGCATTACGGCACCGTGGCCGACTGATGAGCGCATCCTGAATCTCTCAAGAAAAGATGGCCGCACCGATGACTTGCACCGGAGAAGGTAAAGAGGGGAGGACATTTCCTTCTTAGCTTAGCTTTCAAGACGCCATCGGGAGATCGCAGTGAGAAGCCCCGTCTTGCATACCAAGGAAGCGGATTTATTTTGTTCATGACTCGCATCATCGACAAACTCGGAGGTGTGTGTTCACGTGCTACGATGGTCCGTGGTTAATTTTGGATATATAACGCAGGTGGTTGTCGGCGCGAATGTAGCTTCTTTTCTCTGTATTCAATCATAGGAAAATTAACCTTCGTCTCATCATCTTAAAGAATTATTGTTAACGATGATGACATTCTGACCGATGTCGTTGAAAGATCGTCTTCAACTCTCAAATTGATCTACCGTTTGTCGGACTGTGTGTGATGCTTAACTGCTACTGAGAATACTAAGAAGCTTGTGATCTTATCAAATAGCCAGTCTTGATGTAATTTCTTTCAAGTTTACCTCTGTGATTTGTCGTTACAAACTTCGCGTGGTTTTTTTTTTTTGGATCGTATGACTTCGTGGTATCACCGTCCGCCATGGGCATTGCGCTTGAAACACGCAATGGTCGCCGGGCCTAACTTGACAGCATGGGCAACCTGAGCAGTCAGGAAGAAGACAGCTATTACACCGACGACTCTTTGAGTTTGATGTCTGAACAGTCCGCCAGGATGCAACGGCCCACCCGAAGGGGCCCCAATGTTCCGATTGAACCCCCGGAGGCCGATCTGAGCCACCTAACAGAGCAGGAAAGGGCACATATCTTGTCTGTTCTGGCAAGGGCTAGAGACTTACAGGCGAGGGATGAAAGACGTGTGAGGTTAGTAAAAAAAATACTTCTACTAAAATAAATAATTAGTGTATTGCCTTTAATCACCAATCTTACAGTTATATCTCAGAGAGCACAGATCTGTACAGGGAGTTTATGATATCAAAAAAAGGCCATTACTCATGCACCCACTTGCTTTAATGTTGTTAGTATGAAGATACTGTCACTGTTATGTATCATGCTCAAGGACATCGGAACCAAGACTTTTCATCATACCTGAATACAGCACGGGACATAGTGTCAGTTCATATAGCATAATGTTATGAGCTCACACTGGATATTATATAGGCCAACGTATTGAACCATGGTGTTATGCATCGGTAACTGGAAATCCGACATGCTGCTGTCTGCATTACGGCACATTAAAATGTTATTATGTCAATAGTAATAATAAAATGGCTAGTTTGAAGCATCATCATGCTTTTTGCTTCGCATGCTGGGAAAGTTATTACTTCAGCTAATAACCGACACTTCAGTTGTAAATCCAAACCAAGTGTCAAACTCGCCAAGAATAATAACAACCATGAACATGGGCGTTGCCAGGTCTTTTTTTTTTTAGAGGGGGCAAAGTACATTATTTTCCAAAATCTTTGTTCTTTCTCTAGTAGCATATTCTCAATTTATCATTTTTTTGGAGTGCGGGCGGGGGACATTTGCCCATCCCACCCCATTGACACCCCTGCAGACGCCCATGTTGTTTAGTATTGTGCATTAAATACATGTAACAGCAATATGACTTCGCACCTCCCCTTCCTTTCTTTTTTTCCCTTTTTTTCTCCTTTTTTTTCTTTTTCTTTTTGCTTTTCCAGGAGGGGGAAGGGGACTCTTACCCCATTTTGGCGACCTTATGAAAAATATTTCCTTTCGACTTGTGCACAAACAAAAACCAACAAAAACCTCATCATTAGAAAATAGGCCTACTCCCCACACAAACTTGTTTACTCTCTCGACCTAAGCATTTTGCGACATTAGATTCGTTTTTTGAAATGGTAGTTATAGACCAAGGGCGGATCAAGGGGAGGGGGATGGGGCCATGGCTTCCGCCCCCAAAACGAATCAAATTTACTTCGCAACAAAGGTAGGCAATGAGTACACCACCATCTTTGCCTAAAAAAAAACATTGGTTAAGTCAGAAATTGCCTTAGATCGCACCACAGAGCATCTAGAATCCCCGAACCCCACGCCGTAATATTTTGGGACACACTTTTTGGGGACCAACTTTTTTTTTGGCCCCCGAAAAAGTTGTGGTCTGGATCCGCCCGGTTATAGACATAGGGAGACACTTAAATGGCTCCATAATTACCAGTTTCTTCCGATTAAATGTAAAACAATTTTCTTGAAAGTGCTCCCAATTTACTATCTAATTTTGTAACCCAAACGTTCACTAACTTTTAAACCCAAGAGGTCCAAGCAATAAATGTTATCCCACTCCCCCACCAATAAAAGGAAATGTGAACAGATTCCAAAGAAGATGATCAAAAACAAAACAGAGCGACACTGAAGTTAATGTGAAACTTCAAAAAGTGTTAGGACAGACCTCGTTTCATGGTAAGGCATAGTGTTACCATTTTACAACTTGGCACATTTATGCTTGATTAGACCTCAATGTAGAAAGAAAAGCACTTCCTTCCCTTATCCCAGTCAACCTTATCCGGCTAAGTCAAACGTATAACCTCAAAATCATTGCCATAGTTTCACTGCCACATAGTTGTAAGTTCTATTAGAAGGTTCATTTATATGAACATGCAGTCGAATTGCAGCAGGCAAGATAAACCGAGTTCCGTTAATGAAACCGATTAAAGACTGCTGCAGTGAGAAAGGGTCTTTTAAAAATACTAGAGCATTCAATAATTAGGTACATGCCAAGTAAAATAATAAACCCGCCCCCCCCCCCCCCCCCGCTTCCTTTTTTTTCCCCGGCCAATTCCTTCCTTTTTTAAATCTTTTTTTTTTAATCAAACATTTGCAATGTTTCAATTTTTTTTTTTCTTCCAACAAAATTGTAGCTTATAGGGTGAGTCAGAATGATCTGGACCAAAATTAAAGAAAATATCAAAAATATGTTGCAATTATCAAAACAAGTGCAAATGACATATGTTAAAGGCTGGTATTTTGGACATATTTGGTGAAAGTTTCATGTATATCCATTGTGCCATATTGAAGAAAAGCGCTAGCAAAGAACACACGCTAACAAACCTCTGACCACGGTTCCATGGTTCAACAAATTTATTTAAATCGCGTACTGATGTGAAGCAGTGTAATAACAAATAAAAACCCAGTCATGGTGACTGACTCAATTGAAGTTATTGACACATTTAAAAAAGGCAAACCCTAATTTCGTGTGCAGACTGGAAAATGAGCCACTTCAGTGAAAATGGCATAACATCTCACCACAGGCACTAATTTGAAAAATTCAAAGGCCGCCTCCTCCCTTTTTTTCAAAAATCCTGGACGATAAACGATTTCTTTTTACTTGGCCTTTTGAATAGCAAGAGAGAATTCAAACCGAAATATTCGAAGCCATGAATAATCTTCACCTTTACATCATCATAAAGAAAATATTTTTTTTTACAATCGTAATTAACATTCAAACCACTGTTGGGGATGCCAGTTGAAATTGGCGTTTCAATGATTTTAGATAACTTGCTCATCAACTTAAGACAACTTGACCCGAAATGTCAATATTTTCACAGCAGTTGCATTTGTTCATCCAAGTCCCAAATGTCAAATCCTGTATACGCAGATACGAAACAGTCGTCACCAATGTGAGTTGCAAATGATACGGCGCACTCCTGTAATAAAATGGCTAACAGAAAAAAAAAAAACATTTTTCATAGTTCAATATTGGGTTTTGCCCTTCACCGACTATTTTTACAAACACTGTATGCTCAGTGTTGTCCCAAGTGATGGTAAAAAAAATCACTCAGGTTAGGACTGCCTAATTTTATACTTCCTTATTTCAGGCCAAATAGAAAAAAAAACATTTTTTAGCGTCCCCAAGCCCAACCCCCTCCCCCCGTTTCCATTTTTTGGAGGCTGCCTGTTTTTATTATTTTTTTTAAACCGAAAATATGATAGATTTTAAACAGTGACATCAGTTTGGCCTGTTTGTCTGTTGCATCTAGCCCATATAAAGCTGATATGTCATTTCCTGAGTCCAATGTTGGCCATTTAAAAAAACAAACTGCCAGCCATCTTGAAAAATAGCCCGGTCGGGCGGCCAGCTTGGAGGGGACAAAACAGGTCTCCCGCTTCCTTTTTTTCCCCAAAAAAGCAGGACGCTAAACATGTTTTTTTATGTGGCCTTACACTGTTTTTCCTCCCAAGAAATATTGAAAAAAAAATCCGCAATCAATATTTAGGAATCTTTCAGAACATGTCCAATGAATTCAGTACATGACAATAAGTTCAATATGACCCAGCCTGCCCACTCACTAAAAATGTATACATTGAAGGTGCATTATGATGGTCGACTGTGGCGCACTGATGTTTGTATATCATTGTTATAACCAACAACGTGAACAAGGCGCATTAGGGTTGATGATTGACAAGTATAGTCTGACGATAAACTTGCATTCGAAGATCTCATTTTGGTCGAAATACAGTATGTACTTACATTGGCTCGTGTGTAATTTGGTGTAGCCTGTTCAAATATGCCTCCCCTACAAATCTTGTCTGTATATATTACCTGCTGCTTTATTGCAAAAATAAAGAACTGTTTGGTAGTTTTCCTTTTATTGCAAGTTGGACAGTATACATTTTGATTAAGTTCAAGTTAAAATCACAGAACACGTTAATTTGCATTATATTGTTCTTGTTTCTGTTTTGTGTTAGTACGTCCAAGGCATCTCGCCACAAACCTAGGCTTCCAGAAGATGCTTCCATATAATACCTATAAATATTTTAGCCTCTTACAAGTTTTTGGCAATTCCTTTTATTTATTCCTTTACTTATTCGTGTATACTCTGCTCATATTTCTCATTTAGAATGGAATTAAATGTTAGTTTGAATTGACTTGAAATAAATACACTTGTTAATGTGTTAAGTTTAACAAACGTAATTATTCTTACTGCGTGATATTGACGTCTTTCCCTCTTTCGAAGTCCTCTCCGAATCATGTTTGCCCTCTGCCTGGTTTTTGTTAGAATCCAAAAGAAATGTGAACATATATCTTAGGCCTATGTCACTGAATTCTGTCGTTCTATTCTCCTCTATTTAGCTTGTAGCCCACACTCTTAGTTGCCGTTGGCCGTGCGTTTGGGCGATACCTATTAAAAAAAATATAGGCATGACAAATTTAGACGTATACAGCCACGATCCGGTTTTACCTTTTTTCTTGTGTTTTCATATTTGCGGCGCAAAATGCGTATTATATGTCAAACAATTCACTCTCCGGTTACAACTGAATAAAATACTACATGCACCAGATGATCCGTCTATAAATATGAAACGATCACGGCGACTCCGTGTTGTCGTGCAGCGAAGCGGAGCCTTCACTACTAACTGTCAAATTTCATCAGCCTTCATTATGCATGGTGTAAATCGTCTCCCTGGTGACGGTTTCATGGCATGGTCGTGAGCGAAGAGTTGCCCGTAATAATTATGTAGAACGCCAGCAGCCAAATACACATCACGCGAATTGTTGACGTTCATGTGCTTATAAATAAAAACGCCTGTACGGCCAAATACATGATAGAAAACTCTAAAAACAAATTATGCAGAACACTAGCAGTTATGTACCACACAGCCATTACACACATAATGATGTTAATTTCTTTCGCATTCATGGCTGCAATGGATGTGCAACAAAGTCTGTTAGTGCCCTAGCACTATTTTTAATATCAAAAGTATTTTTCATCCTAAATCATATCGTGTCAAAATATTGTTCGTTTTTTTTTTCTTCTGAAAATGAAAATGCACTGTGTGTGTTGTAATGCTTGGAAACAATAGATGAAAGCTCCATCTGAAAGTATATCATTATAGACTACCCCTCTCATCTGTGTCGGTTTTATTTATCGGGTAACAGAGCTATACTTCCCGGACCGCGGAACAGCTTTTAAGAAAGGATGAATGATGGACATGAATTGAGATCCGACATCAACCCACCCACATTGTTTCTACCCCCATTCCGATATTTTGCTCGGGCAGCCTTCAGTCTCCCCCCCCCCAACTCCTCGCTGTATTGGCACTTGCATCCTCATTATTTTGATGGTGAAATTGTTTGGATAGTTCGCCGCATACCCCATTCCCCCTACGCAAACCAAATCGATGGACTTTACGGACGCTAGACCGCACTCTTCGGGCTCACTCCAACAGATGCACCTGTCTGTGACGTCACAGCTCTGCCAAACTCGTTGGGGGATCCAGCCACAATGCCACAGCAATTCCCATAATTGAAAGAGAGGCTCCTTCGGTGGAGGGGACACGGGAGAGGAACACTACCCATGCAGGCAATACACATGGGAGGTGAGGAGGAAGGCGTCAAGCAACGGACATTGAACCTTTCTGCGCGTATACACGCATGATTGGTAATACTCTTACCGTCAATTGCCGGACATGACGGATTTTTTTTATTACTGACGCCATCTAGTTAACATAAAAAAGATATGCAGCAGCGGCAGTGTTTTCACAATACTTTATCAAAGCAGCATTTAATAAATTTAGTCCTGAAGACGAGTTCTTGGAAATGTTCTCCTCAGTGGATAACAGCAGTGCTTGAAACAATCGAACAAACAAACCCAACAAACAAACAAACACACAACCCAACTTTCCCGTGTTTAATTGTATCGTGAGAATTTGTGTTTGCGTCGTACCTACTGCTACAGTGGTACGATCCAAATGAGTGGTCAACGGAAGCTGGATATAATTGGTGAAAATTTCTAAGTAATTCCTTTTTCCGATAAAAGTGAGTAGGCCTAACCAATGAGATCAAGTTTTACATCTAATGAAAGCTTGAGAATAGACCATTCATAATCCGTTTAGCCCAAGGCCGCCCGACCACAGGGTCAACATGAGGGCTCGTGAAAGAGGCCGAGGGACGGTAAATCGGGCTATTTTCAGCTAAACTCCACACAAAAAGTCGAATATTTACCGTTTAAACTTTTTTCTGACGAATGTATGTATTATTTCAGTTTTCTTTTCTGGTTTTGGTTTCGATGAATAGTTCCTTAAGTGAAACCCGCTCGGCCAAGCACTTGCTTTGTGCGAACTGTTTAGAAAAATTCGTATTTCCGAGAAATATGGCAGATTCGGCCTATGTACAGGGTGCGTATTGAGCAGGTGAGACCAACATTTCCATTTGTGGATCACTTGTGCTCGGCCCACGAGCAATTATTGTCTTCAGCCCGAGCATCGCGTAAATGGACCGATTTGTCGTGGGAGTAAGCTATAGGCATATACTTTTTTATCAGGAAGATTACCGCGAGTAAACCCAAGCCGACTTAAGATGTTCAAGTCTGAGCAGCCCCGAGAGAAATTTTAAGTGGTTGCTGCTGGGAGGTCAATGAACACATAGATGCTGATTGAGCGGGCCGGGTGAGGATTAAGATTGAAAACTGACCACCCTCGTACGAATTTACGACATCATGCAGTAGATTCGTATGTCATCCAAAATGCACGATAATACTCGAGTTTCAGTAGCTTTTAATTGAAGGCCTAGCTACCGCTAGAGAAGCTCTAAAAGGTTTCAAAATATATTTCTGTTCAGCGTCGCGCAGGGCCTCTTGTCACTGGTTTGTCTGCTTATATCCATTACGAAAAGTTAATAGAATGGATGCAGGGTTCAGAATACGCGTGTACCTTTACGAGTTGAATCAACGAGGTTTCCAAACTCAGATGCACTAAAAGCGTGTAAGCTTATAGAAGGAATCGTGGATAGTTTCGGATCAGGCGGCATTAAGGTTTGGCGTACGAAAAGCTTCAACTTAAACATTAGCTGGTACACAAGATAATAGACTTCGGCAGGTGGTGTAATATCTCTTGAAAAGGTTAGAACAAGAAAACTGGAACGGCACTCCAATCCGAGAACTAGAAAACTGGAACCGTATACTCTCACCTGCAAAGTGACATCACATCTAACTACTTCGATTGTCAACTCATCCGCCTGGAAGTGGGAAGCCGAGGCGTTTTCACACACACACACCCACACCCACACACCTGCAAGTGTGTATTTGCCTGCAATTGGGGACCCCCTATTGTTTTTACTTTAACTTTTTAGGATATATGTTTTGTACACGATCGCCAATTGGGGACCTTCGAGAATTGAGGACCCTATTGTCCTTTATTGTTCAACGTTCCCTATTGAATGCAGAAACAAACTCGCACACAAATAAACTGAGGATTTTCTAATGTTCCTCTTCCCTTTTCCTTTGTTTATACTAAACATTTTTTTAACAGCTCTCATCGGTTTTGTACACGTTTTTTAATCGTGGTGTCGTCCTCGATTTGGTTAATTATGTCCTCAATTCATCGATGATGTTGCACGTGTGTGTCCTCGTTTCACACCCCGTAAATACACACACTTACAAACTTCCGTGTAAAAGGCTTCGGAAGCACTTTTGGGAAAGGGCTGCACAAAAGTACTAAAAATATTAGCAAATTGGCTTCAGCAGATCACTAATTTATGCCAGATCCAAGCCGCAGTAGGTTGATAATGTTGCTTCTACATTAGGCCCTAATTTTATTGAATTTTTTTAAAGTAAATCTTTAAACTGGTTGTAATTGTCGATTATATCAGTGTGCCCTTTAAAGTTTCAGAGATTTTATTTCTTGTTTCAGATTCTTTTTGAGCGAGGATTATTTTCGGTCTGGCCATCATTTAAATTCTCTCACCTCATTTTTCAGTCCTTTTCTAACTGCAGTTCCAATTGAGATGTATCTTTTAAACGTTTCTTTTGTATTGGTAATTTTGTTTGTGGGCACTTTTCTCTTTTCGTCTTTTTGCAGTGTGTGCAGTTTATCTGTTTGTGCCCTGTTGTTTGTCTTTCTAACGTACCCTTTGTATGGTCTGTAATAATAGGATCAATAACCTGCTGGGGCCAATTTCATAGAGCTGCTTAAGCACAAATTTTGCTTAAGCACAAGAAAACCTTGCTTAATATAATCAGGTTACCGGCCAAAATGCTATACGATGTACATTCCTTATGACTGGCATTTAGCTGTTGTTTACTTAGCATAACAATCGCATAAAGTTTGGGCTGGTAAACTGATTATATTAAGCAGAGCTTTTTTGTGCTTGAGCAAATTCTGTGCTAAAGCAGCTCTATGAAATTGGCCCCTGGGCTTTGTGTATAACCTTTTACATGAAAAAAAGAAAGAAATATGTATGGCTTGAGGAATTACGTGACAAAGATTGCGGCTCGTCATGACTGCAAATATCAGATGCACGTATACCATTGTACATCTGCACAGTACTGGCACTCAGTCGTGTCTTGCATGAATTAACAAGGATCCGAACGCTTAACGAGTACAGCTCTTTAAACTGCCATCAATCTTCCGTTGTTTCCGGCGAAATGATCTTCAGATGTGCATTCATCAAACGCCGAATCAATACCAAGGATTCGGGCGTCTACTGCACGTCGGTACGCTGCGGATACGCAGCACACAGCACGCCGTCATTTCCTCATGGAACCTGATATGTTACCAGAGGATAAGAAGTTCTGTGCGAGGAGTTGTAGTTGGACTGAAGGGATATACCCGTTGAATGGGAAACAGATGTCCCCTTACCGAAGATTTAGAAGCTCAAGTTACATTGTGTATTTTTTTTTGGTAAAAAAAAAGGGTCAGACGATGATGACATAAATCGTCAAGTACCTATGGCTGGACAAAGAAAGTGCCTTTAGCTCACTCAACAATTTTGAATGGAAAGAAATTGTATTTTTGCATAGGCCTATACGCTTGCAATGATAATTTTGTCTGCACTCATGTTGAGAGGTTCTTCTAACTGTTTGGGGCTTCGAAAAATCTCAATAAAAATGATATGATATGGACACGAACACTGTACTAAGTGATTTGTATTGATATACTATAGGGTAAAATACCAAGGTGGTGGGGTGTTACCAAACAGGTAATCCAAAATAATGGATTCATAATTTGTAACAATTTGAACTTGAGCCGTCAGTGTGACTGTACGTGAAAGTGTGGTATATATAGTGTTTACCTTAATTGTATCCCCGGTAGTCAACTTTCACTGAACACCGTTGATTTCAAAATAGAATGTATATGCATCATGGATTAATGATCGAGATAGCGCAGATTATTGTGGTCCTCACAAACAAATTAATGTCAGAGATATGGTTCAATTGTTACCGGGACATTCCTTTCTTATTGTTTATTGTCTCCTATTTGTGACACATCTTAATTTAGACCTGCCACTGACTGGACTAATTGTGTTTTGACATCTTATTTTTACTGCTTCACCTGAACCTTTGAAGGGACTTGGAAGATGATTTCTCCAACTACGCCGCCTCGGTCCTCCAACGAGCGTCGAACGCCACAGCCTCGGAGCCTGAGGCCAGCACCGGAAGCCGACAGGGAGACCTCTGCCCCATATGTCACGTGACCGAGCTGGTACCCGACCCCCAGCCTGGTACCGCCTCGGAGGGGCAACCGTGCGGGGACTGTGACCGGATAGTCTGCCTCCAGTGCGGTTTTTACACGCCAGCGATGACGTCAGATGTAAGTCACGCTCACATTTACCCCTCCATTTTGTTTTGAAGCTATTCAAAAGCATGTTTGTATTGCATTGTTACATTCAATTCATATACCATACCCCTTTCTTTTAACGAAACTAGAAAGCACTGAGAGAGCGCAAACCTCCGCCAAGGCTGAACCATTCCCGGCCATATTTTCAGTACACCCAAAAGAAATATTCGCATATCCACTGAACTTGCATATTTAATTGCACATTTAAAATGTCAAAAGGATTGCTCATATTCTGAATTTATCGAAAAATAGCAATGTTGGCCGCTTATTTCGTTATTTATTCCATACAACAAATACTTAAACTCAAACATTTTGTAGTTTACATGTGTCTGCCTGTGTCGGTCTACCGCTCCACTCCCCCATTGCATAAAATGGTCTAGTCCATTGACATGTGTGGTTAGATTAGGTGGGCAATAAGGCATACAGCGTCATCGGGTCAGTTCACGCACACGGAGCTGCTTGTACACAGAGGTCATGGTATATACACATGACATAATATTTGCACATTCAAAATGGTGAAGAATCCTCAGAAAAAAAATCCTGCATCCAGTACCCGATCCGGATCACTTGCAAATTCTTATTGATTTGTACTTGTACCAAGCCGGGACCACCCCTAACCAAATTTTCATGAAAATCCGTCCATAGCTTTGTGAGTTATACTGTTAACAGACAAACCAACAAAGAAACCAACGCCAATGAAAACATAACCTCCTTGGCGGAGGGAATAGCACATTACGGCGAAGACCCATAAAGCAATTGCCAAACAAACCATTATAGAAACTCATAAGTAACATTTATGGTATTCGTATTCATGGATCTACTGCATGGTGAATACCTTCCAACATTTTTTCACTTCTAAGGCAATTACTGGAGTTCTTTTAAAGTCATGTATTTCTCGGAAACCAAGGATGTACACTGTAAAAATGGCGTTTAGAGTATAAACATATTTCTAAACACGTTCTTGTACCCACTTTTTTCACATGTTTAGCCCACGACATGTTTATATTTTACATTTAAATGTTTAAATGTTTACATTTTTAACATGTTTAGCTTGAGCATTTAAACGACTTCTGTTGTGTACGTTTAGTTCCAGAAAGTAACTGCATATATACAGAATCATTTACAGAAGTGGGAACCAGACTTGAATGGGAACCAGACTTTTATATTAATGGGATTTAAATTATTTCACATTACTTATGGTAGAATGTACCAATGCTGCGATAGGCCTAACCTACTATAAACTACACACTAGCGCGTGTTGTGGTTAAGCTTTACATGAAGCTATACCCGCCGTGATGAAGTCACGGCTTCAGCATAAATGATTTCAATTAAATATTTAAATACGAAAAGAGATGTAATGCGTTTTTCCACTTATGTTTGCAAATATCGAAATTCTATCATGGATTCATTTGAATAATTAATCATTGCGGTCAAGAAAGTGCTGTTTGGGACAAAACGCCACACTTAAACATGGCTTTTGTTCAGATTGGGCAGTTGCTGCGTAGCGAGATTCTCTGTAAATAAACACGTCTCCAATACTAACGCATTCAATGCAAATATGTAAACATTGTGTTGAAAAGCCAAGCACGTGTAGTTTCGTGACGTTCGCGTTAAATAGAATAAGCGTTTAGCATTTAAACACATCCCTAAACGCATTTAACGGTAAACACGTTTTAAACGTGTCTAAAACCTAAACATCAGTTTTACAGTGTACATTCGATCGTTCTAATGTACTAGCACTTGGAAAAGACCGGACATAGGTTAAAAGAAAAATATCACCTAAATAAAACATGTCAAATAACTATGACTATTCAGTCATATTGAATGAGGATGCAATAATCGTACATGCTGTCAAACCACCACACCAGTGCAAACTGCCACACGTTGTACTATCCGCCTAAAACCTTTTCAGGTTCGGAACCTGTCAGGGCTGTCTGCTTCGGTTATTAAATGACCCGCCGTTGTGTGTCAGGTATCCATGGCAACCGCACTTCACCGGAGGCAATTGTCCTTTCGGAGAGCAAACTTGGCAACCGCGTGAAGCCCCTCTTACGAACCGTGTCATGTTACAAGACTAGGCAATCGAAAAGTACAAGAAGAGAACATTTCACATAAAAACACATTTTTCGCCGAATTATTGTAGGCCTAGTCGCCCGAATTTCTGATTTCTGAACTTTGCGATCTCCTTAAAATAGTTAGATAAATCTCTTTAAAAGAGTTTATAATAAAAGTGAAATAATTTTCTTCGCTTAATCTGTGGTTGTAATTTTTGTAAATGAAAAAAAAAAACAGTTCGAAAACCTGTCTTGTGACTTCAGAGGCATCCTGAATTGCATTTTACGCTTGAGTCTTGTTGAGCATTTGGCAAGAAAATTGGAAACCTAATTGTTTTTGTGAGAATCGTTTTAAAAACCTACAGCCGTTAACAATATTATTGTATGGCTGGGAATGGGTAACAAGGGTTTTCTAACACACCCTACCTACTCTGCCCCATAAAACCCGCTGGATGCTACTGTATGCGAACATACGCTTGAGTTGGCGCCGTACATGATTTCACACCGCCTTAATTAACTTTGATCTGTCCAGCGATCTATCTACCCGGGCTAATTTGCATCAGGGGCGCGTCTGAGTTCAGACCTAATGTGTGTTTATAGAGCGATTGCATGGCGCATGGCTGTCCTATACCATTAATATTGTTTGGCACACTGGCGCTATAACTTATAAAATATGGCAGCATGTCGGCGCTTTAATTTCGTGCCCGATCGCTGTAGTGTGACTTGGCCATATGTTTCCTCATACTGTAGTGCTATAACAGTAACACCTTATTTTTGATTGATATTTGTTATATATTAATTAGGTTGATGTCTTCTGACTTATTCAGATCTGCGAAACTGACCCTTCACCCAATGTTTTAGTTGGTAAAACTGTCTCCATGGAATGCTTCAAATATTTCGATCAATTCATGACGATAACAAATTATTGGTTGGTGTTTGCTGGTATTGTGTCTGATATCTCATATTTCACTGATTGCTCTTCCATCCATCGGACATTTGATCTGTTTTAGGTCCTCGCAATAATTGCGAGCGGAGTGGAAGATACAGGTGCTGAAGTTTGCAGTGCAAGCTATTTTCGAATACAATTACACCGTATTTTTTTAAGAAGCAAATAATCCATTAGGCACGAGGAAAAAATATAATGAAATGATTCGTATAAAAGGCCACAGTTCCACTGTACAGGGCGACTCAAAAACAAGGAAACCCAAGTGGTGCCCCTTTCTTTTGGAAAGAAGTTTTGCATGTGGCGCTTTCTAAATCTTAGATATGAAAGCCCAAATAATAACCTTTCTTTCAGTGAAATCAAATCGCTCATGTACTTTTTCAGTTATGGAATTTTAAAAAACAAACACTGTTTTTTATTCTTGTCCATGGATCACAAAATGAAACATGCATGTCGTAAACTGAAAATAATATCGGAATAACCCCAAAGGTCTCCGGGGTAGAGGCAGGGCAAAACTATGCACTCTTGGCATAGTAAAACATGTTATTTTAACATTGGAAGCAGCAGCCTTTGAAATAAACCTTATGGTAAGTGCCAGTTATCATGGTTATGAGAGTGTTCTGATGTGTTTTTTAAATAGTGAAAAGTTTTAGTTTTGCTGAAATATCACTAACCTTTATTGTGATCCGTAGACAAGGTTTTTATAAAAAACGGTGTTTTTCCATAACTGGAAAAGTACATGAGCGATTTGAATGATTCTTTCACTAAAAGAAAGCTTATTAATGGAGCTTTCCTATCCTTAATCTGGACAGCGCTACATGCAAAACCTCTTGAAAAAATAGGGGGCACCATTCGGTTTTCCTTCTTTTTGACTCACCCTCTAGTCAGCTATCACTCAAACAGGCCCCCAAGATGAACACACCTCCCAAAAATGCATCGTGTGATATGAAAGCCGTCGATGTCCGTGACGTATGCAGGCCTATAGGGATGCGCATTCGGCCTGGGGCGACTCCACTTGAATTACAAATTTGTCTACGCATAAATTTTGACGGGTTTTATTACGTGGACCGGTACCACGACGTCACTCAGCACATGGGCAATGGTAGATCAGTCTGGTCTGTCTTTCAGAACTGCGTGTGACGATGAGTCCCTAAAAAAAAAAAAGAATAGGAAGAAATATAACGTGTTACTACTACTCACTAACACGATTTGCATTCATTTTGATGTAGGCCTATACGTTTCAGACGCTACACTTCACAGAGTGTAAGTCAGTCCCTTGATGCTTGGGATGGTTGTTATCTTTGTGACTTATCCCCAAATTTCTAATCAGTTCATATTTCGTTTTCTTGTCTGTTCAAGCGTTCAAGAAAAGGAGATAACTTACAAGATAATTCGGTTACTAATAGTTTTGGAATCGGGTTGCTCTGTGTTAATGATTTTTGGGCGTGTGTAATATCAATACCAAATGCAATATATGGTGTTTTTTTCCACCGGTAACATCAGTATCAAGCTTTACAGAGACACACTGGTCCCTCCCAATTTTGGGGGTAATATTTTGCTATTTTTTCCTTTTTTGAAACACGGGAAGCATTTAGTTGGGCTAAAATTAATTCCGTTAAGTGTGTCGCGATTCATGCTATATTTGATGTTCGGGAGTTGGCGCAGCCGTCAAACTAGGCCTATACTTTCAAAAGTGGTAATCGTGCATTACACGTAAGCCACAAACCACCGTAAACGCCAATTGTGATTAAATTGTTTTATTTCATCCAAATAAACACTTTTATTTCTGTTTTGGGAGTCTGCAAACCTCTAAACATGCTTCAATATTGCGCCCCCCCCCCCAAAAAAAAAAAATCCGCCATGCGAGTAGACTGGCTCCCAGTCCATAAGCATTATCAATTCTGATATTGGCGGGAGCCATGCTATCTGTTATTGACGGGCAACAAATAATTCGAAATTGTCAAGTAATCATTCTA